CAGGCACCCCTAGGGGCTTTGAACAAGGAATAATGCCTTTCAAAAACATCTAACATAGAAATATCTTGTTTTGAAGCTGTCTATATTCTCTTCTGTTGGGAGCTGCACAGTGTTTCTCTTCTTTTTCTGAAGCCTGAAATGGATGACTTTCAGAAGCTCAGGTGTGTCCTCTCCAAGCACGTGCAGGTAATTTTCTCATATCTAGCTGGCCTCATCTCTTGATGTGCTGCAGCCCTACCAGGGTTAAATGTACTGCTGGGAGGTCTCAAGGACGCTGCTGCATGTTCTGCCTAGCAACAACACTGAATGTGATGCAACCAGAGCTCTACCCAGAATTCTGCACGCTGCAGTGGGGTGCAGGGGAGGGCATGGTTGGGTGGCCTGCTGCCAAGAGGAGAACGTGGCTCTGGAGGCACAGGTAGACTCAGTTACATAGAGATGAGAACCTGTCCAGACATGGGAAGGACATAGTGCAATGGGGTCAGTGGGTTTATCCTGCTATTGCTATGCCCTTCTCTTCTCCCTGCACGACTCCAGTCCTTATCTGGACAGTCCCATGTCATACAGCCCTCCCCATCACCTTCTGCCCACAAAGCCTCCCAGGAACAAAGCATGAGCACACAGCTCAGCACTTCAAGTTTTCCAAATACAGTGATGCCAATCCACATATAATGTAGCAAAAGAGGTGTCCATACTCTGCAGTACATGTTTCTGCAGTAAGGCAGCTAGCTGGTGGTACTCTGTACTCCACCAGCCCTCACACACCATCTATTTCTCTTCCTTAGCATTTCCTCCTTATGGGTTTCTTGTTTTGTCCCTTTTCAGCTCCCTTTTTCTTTTGTAGCATCAGCAATGAAGAAGAAACTGATGATGCTTTGATGGTTCCTTGGCGCTGCCTTGCTCTTGTACAACAACTGCTCCGAATACAGTTTCTGTGAACAGAGGTCAAACCTACAAAACCAAGCAGTTCCCTCTTCCAAGACGAGCCACAGTTATAAAGGAGGACTGACAAATGGCTGCTTGAGTGGAGCACGAATGCAACCATTGCTACACTGGCAAATCTATGCCTTCAGTTAGGCTGCAGGCAGGACATGCTCCAATAGAGTTTTGCACATATGCTCTGCACTACCATTCAGGATATGCTGATCCAGGGACAAACACTCAGCTGCTCTGCACAAAAATCTAGTAGGATCAATTACAGGTCAGGTCACCTCAGTAATTACCTCCCTGCGTTCTGCTTATCTTTCCAGCAGTTTCTGTCTGCTTCTTTCTGACACTGGCACAGTGTCAGAAACAACAAGGTCAGGAGTGCTCCACTAAATGTCTGTTGCCTAATTGATGTTTAGACCTTTCTAGCAGTATCAGTCTTTAATAACTAAGCATTTAATTTTTCCCTTTATTTTTTATTTTTAATCAATTTCTTATCAATCTTTCCTATAGATGAACAAATGGCTGTGAAGACGCCTTGGCTCCAGTGAATTTTGTGACTAATTACTGGCTCTCAGGACATTTCTAACTGAGCAAACCAGCAAGTATCCCAGGCTCATGGAGTCAGCAGCACTGGTGACTACAGGCCCAGCAGCCACAGTGAAGGATTAACAGGCCCTCCTAGAGCTGCAGCAAAGAATGCTCCACACTAGCGGCCACGTGAGTGGCTCCTGGGTGCAAGCACCGGGAAGACAAGTACTTTGCCAAGCCTTGTTCTTTGCTTACATCCAGACAAGTGTTGCGTAAGTGCATTCCCATGTTTGAGGTATGACTTCAGATACTTGTGCTGTTGCATTGTTTATTGAGGCAACTGCCCCATGGATGGCCTTGAAGCCATGCGGGCAAAGACCAGCCAATGGGAATGAGATGGAAAGGAACACAATGGCTCTGTAGGACAAGGGGACAACATGAGCTGGTGGTGAGTGGCGTAGGCACACTGAGGCACTTTTCTTTCAGAGCACAGAGAGGTCAGCCACTCCCCTGACTGAATATGAGCTCCAGTGATAGAGACCTACAACATGCCCTGCTTAACTGCTCCAGCAACTCCCCTCCAACTTAGGAGTTGCTGGAAGTCGGGCATGTGTCTTTTTTTCTTCTTTTTTTTTTTTTTTTTTTTGAGGATGCCTAAATCACATCTCTTTTGCTTCAAATTAAGATCACTGCTTCCTGATCATGCCAATGACAGACAGGGAGAACAACATCTTACCCTTCTCTTGACAGTGTTTTTTTTTTTACAAGTTTGCAGGTTGTTAAAATCCCTCCTTTTTGACCAGCTTGCGAGTTGTTAGCAGGCACTTTACAGGCAAATGAGAGGACCGGGCTATGTCTTGTTTTGTAGGTTGTATTTCTAGAGCTTTCTTTTGCTGTAGAGAAGAGCAAAAGGGGGAGGAGAGAGCAGAATTTCTTCACATGTCCTACATGTGACATTTATGTTTATACACCCTAGTGATGTTAGCTTTTTTCGCAACAGAATGACACTGTGGACTTGAGTTCAGTTTGTGATTCACAAAAACCTCCCGTTCTTTCCCGCAGCATAGATGCTTTGTCATTGTGCTGCATTCACTGTTTCCATGACTATTTGTGTGAGATGGTAAATCTGTTTGTGGTGTTCAGCAGGGATTGTGCTGCAGCTCCCGGATGCCTCATGCTGGAGAAGTATGAAGCAGTCGGTGACTCGTTGTTCCTACTTCACCCTGCAAGGTCTCAGGGGGAGCACTGAACCAGGTCAGAGCTCCTGGCCCATGGTAGCCAGGCCTGGCCCTTCCCTCCCCATCACGAGGCAGTAACATCAGGAGCAGCCAGAAACAGAAGAGGAAAAAAAAAAGAAGAAAAAAAAAAAGAGAAGCCAAAGCAAAGGTAAACAGAGCTTATTGCTCTCTTCTCTTGAGTGCCACTTCCTGCTTCTTGTTGCTGAGGATAGTAACCCAAAAGGTGTCATTGACCACGTTCAGCTGGTTTACCAGCTGTGATAATTGAGTACAAGTGATATAAAACATTTTGATAACAGTCAGAGAAACTGAATACGATTGAATCAGATTAGCAATGACCTGAAGTTTGTACCCAGCAGCAAACATTCTAGTAGAACATTGATGTGTCACCAAATCAACAGCACTTCCCAGCTCTGTCTTTTTTTTAAAATAACTAATTTCAGCACATCACAAAATCCAAAGACAGTTTTGGCTCAGGTTGCTGAAGGACCACCAGCAACACTGCATTAGAAACAACTATTAGTACTCACAGTTATTCAGTTTGGTTGTTCTCATACCTTTCACAGCGATTAACAGCTCTACTAGGCAAAATGGTATTGCCCATGATCCTAAAATTAAATGAGGAGTTGCTGACAACTTTTACCCGCATCCTCTTCCCAGCAGCAAGGTCTTAGTTCTAACATATGAACATGAGCCTGTCTTTGTAGGGCAGGTGCTCCAGTCCCCTGATCATCTTTGTGGCCTCCTCTGGACCCTCTCCAACAGCTCTCTGTCTTTCTCATACTGGGGGCTCCAGACCTGGACACAGTACTGCAGATGGGGCCTCACAAGAGCAGAGTAGAGGGGGACAATCACCTCCCTGTCCCTGCTGGCCACCTCTGCTGATGGAGCCCAGGACACCATTTGCTTTCCGAGCTGCAGGAGCACACTGCTGGCTCATATTAAGCTTTTCATCCATCAGGACCCCCAGGTCCTTCTCCGCAGGGCTGCTCTCAAGGGCTGCTCCTTGCAGTCTGTATGGATGCCTGGGATTCCTCCAGCCCAGGTGCAAAACTGCACTTTGCCGTGCTGAACCTCATCAGGTTCACCTGGGCCCACCTTGCAAGACTGTTGAGGACCCCCTGAATGGCATCCCTTCCTTCCACCGTGTCAACCGCACCGCTCAGCTTGGTGTCATTAGCAAACTTTTCTAACATCACATTGTCCTACAGCTCCTACCCCCTCTACCTGAACTGGAGAAAAACAAGAATTCATTTTGTTTTGCTTCTGTCTTATCTGCAAACAAGACAGATTTTAAGGCAAGTTTGCAGAGCCCCACTTCATGCAGCAGTGTGAAGTGGGCTGGAGGCTGTTGGCCTGCAGTGCTGAGGCTGCAGCACAGCCCTCTCAGTGTGAGCCTCTCAGTGCTCCAAGCTGCAGATCTGTTGCTGTTTTTCCTGCAAGGACAGAAGTGTAGTTATCTCACTTCTTACAGATGGAGGAAATGCATTTCTGCACCTTTGTGCTGAAACTGGACTTCTCATCATGCATTCAGATACTGAGACCTCCTGGAGTACTGTTTCCTTGAAATTTTCCTAAATACAACAAAAGCACTTCTTTGCAATGCAAACGCTTTTCCAGGCAGCAGCTGGGCGAACCCTGGGAGAAGAGCATTCTCCCTGGCTGTGTTCTGTTCCCCTCTGTGTTTCCCTGTTGCGCCACGTTTATTTTTTTCCCACATACACTCACTTGCCTTCATTCCAGCAACTACCAGCAGACAATGGATCAGTCAGTTTCCTCCCGGCTGCACGGTGTCAGCTGCTCTCAGCAGACTCCGGGACAGAGGCAGTCAGTCCCGCTGGGCAGCCAGACATTGTTCTGCATGGAAATCGGGCAGCTTGTGAAAATGTCACATTGCACCGCCTGGGGTGGCCTCCAGCAAATAGACACTAATGAGGCCTCTGTGGTTCTGTGTTCATAGATACAAGGTAATGGGTCTGAAGAAAATTGCGGGAACACCTCCTGTGGAGTGATGAACCGGAATCCGACAGCAGCACTTAAGGACACATCGCAAGTGCCGAAGACAGGCCCCGTAAAAAAGTGCTTTTGTACGACAGGTGGAGAACTTCAGGACCACGCGGAGTTTCGGCGGAACGTAGCGGGTAAAATCCTGGGCCTCGCGCACCGAAGAACAGCGCTCAAGGGAAGGCGGCGCTGCGCGCGGCCCTCGCAGAGGAGCAGGACGACCCCAGGCGGAGGAGCGGAGACGTCCAGCCGCGGCACCGGGAACCGCCCCGCGGTCCTCCGCTCCTCCCCCAGCGCTCGGCGCCGCGCGGGGCCATGGCGGACGGGAGTTGCTCTCGAGCCCCGCGGGCGGGCGGGCGGTGAGCGGCCGCAAGGGGATGGGGACGGCCGGGGCTGGGCTCGGCACGGTAGTGCGGGCGGCGGACGTGAGGGACGCAGGAGGGAGAGGAGGGGTTGTGCGGAGGGGTTGCGCGGCTCCCGCCGCTGCCGCTCACGCCGTTGTCTGCCGGCAGCGCCGTGCCCGGAGCGGAGCCGCCACGGGGCCGCGTCGACACGTCGGGGCTGCTGGAGTGCCGCCGCTGCCGCTACCTGCGCACGGGCCGGGGTGAGCGGGGCCGGGGGGAGGCGGGAACCTCTCCTTCTGTCGTAGTGCGGCAGGCGGCCCAACCCGGCCCTGCCTCTGTGCCGGCGCATGGCGGCAGCAGCCCGGCACGCCTCTCCTTGCAGCCTGCTGCCAGCTGGTGGGAGCGCTGCTCGCTGCGCTGATCCTCGTCTGCAGCTCCGTATCCTACGGCTCGGCAGGCGGCTACACGGGCGTCCCCGGCCAGGGCGGCATCTACTACTACATGTACGGCGGGGCGTACAGCGGCTTCAGCGGAGCGGACGGGGAGAAAGCCCAGCAGCTGGACCGGCGTTTCACCCAGCTCAAGATGCCAATAGCCAGGGCGGCGATGGCCGTGGGAGGAGCCCTCCTGGTCTTCTCTTCTGCGCTGATTTTGGTTGGAGTTGTACGGCTACCGTGGCGTTTTCCTGCATGGCTCCTACTGGAAGGCATCCTGGACACAGTGGTTGCAGTGGGTTTGCTGTTTGCTCTGTACTGTTTCTTCCATCATCTGCTGGAGGTTTATGATTCATCAGTGTGCAAAGACAGAGCACACCTTTACCAAAGCAAAGGCTATCAGGGCTTTAGCTGCAGCGTGCATGGGGCAGAGATTGCTGCTGGCCTCCTGGGCTGTGCGGCTGTCGTGACATTCCTGCTTGGTGCAGGCCTGGCCGTCAGAGGGTACAGAATAGTTCACAAACTGAAACAGAAGCCAGAACACACGTATGAACAGTAGAATTACTCCTCTGCTCCAGTAGTAGTCCTGATTTTTGCCAGCCTTGTGGCATGCTTTTACTTGCTTGGGGACAGTGCCTTCTTATTACTATAACAAAGCATTCACCAAAAGCCTAGCTCCAAATACAGTGAAACCAAGCTGTTCAAACTTAAATTTGCACTGTTGAATTATTAGCGGACACATACAGATTGTCTTCACCTGGTGGCTGTTCTGCCTCTCCAGCACATATCTGAGAGAGAATGCATTGCTAACTGCTGTTCTTATAAACACAGTAATGCACAGGCTTTGCCTAAACAGCAAAACTAGTTTTGAATGCTTGCAGCCTGGGAAGATAATTCAGCTTTGGAGAAGCCCTTGTTTCTGAATGTCAGTGACTGAAAAGAGAGATCACATACCTGAGCTCTGGGTTTCCAACATCATACCCACATACCCTCCTAGCAGTAGGGTAATTAATGTCAGTAGTCACTCACAGCACATCAAGTAGCACGGCTAGGACGTGTTGCAGACACATGCTGGTGAACAGCTTCCTAGAGCTGAATCTTTTACAAAGGGCCTGTGACTGTCCACTGAGAATGGAACTCTTAAAAGTGAGCAATGAAGCTGATGGTTGCCAATTCCTTCTTTGTAAAGGTCTCTTGGTGCTAAAGGGGCAGCTTTAACATGGCATTTATATTGCCATCAGAGACTCCTGAAATAAACTTGTAGGGTGGTCAGCTTAATTTGTGCCTTCTTTTTGCTCCCCTCTGGTGAGGGCACCTTTCTGGATGGAGCACTCTGTTGTGTATACCTGTATACAACCATTTTGCCTAAGAAGAGCCCAGAGTTTGACTCATCAGATGTAAGTTTTAAGAGCTCACAGAGGTGATTTAAGAAGAAGGTGTGTTGTTTGCAAAACATTTTTAGTGTACAAGGTAGGGAAACGAGACTGATTCTGTGTTGTTTATGAACAAATAAAGGTGAATTTTCTCTTCAGAACTTTGTTGGTTTTGTCTTTGTAGACTCATCAAAGAAGAGAGGACTAGCACCAGATTCAGGTATCATGCTCAGAATGAAAAGCCATTTCAGAGCAGTGCCCACAGAGTGCATTAACCTCCTGAGAATTAATCTCCACTGGTTTAACAGGCCAACTCCATCTCTAGAGGAGAAAAAAAAAATAAAAATCCCCAAAGCAGCATATTAAAAGCATGCTTTGTCATAGATTTACCTCCAGTTTCACCAGTGACTAAATCTTCACAATTTCTGAAGTCATAGAACACTACTGCAACCAAAAACACAAAAGTAAATTCTACACTGTAACACCTCAGGTGACTGCTGCTTCCTTGTAGCAGCCATATGCACTCAGCATCTGAATGCATGGATTTATGTGGACAGGCAGCTGTGGCCCTATTTCTTCTACTGATTCCATACTGCTTGCTTGCTGCACTTACTTCTAAAGCGCTGTGTTATTCACAAGTTCGCAGGGACTCCTCTGGTAGGGTACAGAGAGCTGCCCAATATTTGGTACTGCTAACTCTACTCTCAGTGATCTGCATATACGTTTTGTATGGAAGGCTGACTGAGTAGAAGTAGCACAGAGCTCAAGGAGAGGGACCTTACAGCACAACTATGGCTACCTCTATGTGTGATTGGGATATTGCACACACTCCCTCCAGTGCAGTAACAGACTCAGAATATATAGTTAGACAAAAGTAAAAATCTTTATTGCTACGTCATCTGAAAAGTTGATGCAAAAATATTCTTCCTTCCTGAACTACTCTATACAACTGAGTAAAGAATCATCAAAATAGTGTTTTCCAGCAATGGTATTTGCCTCTCCAATGCAGTATACACAAAGGCTACATTGCCGAAGGTGCATTCATGGAACGGTCTGTTCCTGTATACTGTAAAAGAGGAATTATTACCACTGCATGCTAGAGTGGGATACATGAAGTGTTTTCCTTTTTAAAACAGAAAGCGTGAAAAAATGTTGTAAGTGGAGTGCTGCAATAATTCTTTAACATGCACTGGGTCATGAGTCAGAACAGTAACTGTTTTAAAATGAAAAGAAAAAAAAAGAGGAGAAAAATATACCGAAGTCTTCAGACTGCAATGGAACAGCAGACAATGACTGCCAAAATGCAAGAGGTGAACCCACTGTCCAGGAATGCCCTCTGGCCAGTGACACGAAAGACATCGGCATCCAGCAGGAGCGCAGAAACGTCTGGAAGTCCCAGGGCTTTAACTGTGTCTTCAAATCCCAGGCACTAGAAATACTTCAGGTCTCACAGCAGACCTTCCCACAGAGAGGGAAATACCCACTTCATGGAACTGGATTTTTCCGTCCTGTCTGGTTGAGGACTCTAATCAGATTTCAGCAGTCTGCAGCACCTCCCCCAGGTCTGTTCCAGGCACTGGGCACAACTTTGATGGTACGCTTTATCCTCAATACTCAAGCCCAAACCAGGCACCAACTGCTTTACTGGCTCTTTTTGGTAGCTTCTGGTCAGACCAGGGCACGCAGGTCAGTGCCTCCGGCAAGCCTGTTCTCAATGAGCTTGCTTAGCAATAGGGCCAGAACTGCTAAAGGGATGGAAAGACAAGTTCCACAGCCTAACCTTATTGTGGCCACCTGGAGCACAACAGCTCTGGCAACACTCAGACAATGACCCCACACTGAGAACCTCCAACAGTAAAAAAGAATGGAACATGCTTAGTGGGGTGGCTCTATGGAAATGATGTCATCTGCAAGAGCCACAGAGAATTCAGGGAAGACAGCAGAAGAGAACAGGAGAACTGTGAGGTAACACACCTTCTATCCTCTGTTATGAGCCCCCCTGCTAAACTTTCCCATCCACATGTGTTCCCACATATAGCAGTGCCAATCAGAAGCCTGAGATGTATGTCCAGTGTTAATAAGGAAGACAAAGGAAGTTTGCTGCCTTCAGAGAGGCCAAAAAACAAAAGGAGGTGCTACCCAGAATAAGAGCAGCAGTTCACAGTATCAATCTAATTGGAAGCAGTGATGGACTCCACAATTTTACAGAACAAGCCATATTCTGCCACAAATGTTCACACCTGTATAAAAAGAGATCCCTTTCTGCTGCAAAATCAGAAACAGAGCTGGAGAAAAGGCTGAGTAGTGGTTCTATGCATTCCATTTGGAGAAGCAGATCAAAAACTTGCACGCTGTCCTGTGGAGCTTCACTTAATCCTTCCTACTGAACTAGGAGTGACATGTCATGTCACGTCACTCAGGACAAGCTCCCCACGAGACATACCTGTCTCACACAATGCTAACGGTTCAGGCTGGCAAGGACACACTGGATTTTACACATCAGTGCAAGGAGTCCTGATTTGCACTGACATTTACCATTCTCCTACTGCCAGGTTCACCACAATCTTATTCAGAAAGCAGCTTACATTCCTGTATCAATCCCACACTGAGCAGAGCAGGTAGCAGACACTATTGGCCTCGACACAGATACTTGGTGACACTGTCGCCAGCAAATGAACTGAAAGTTACTGTCAAATACACTGAGGTGAGCCATTTCTGCATACTTAACATGAGGAGAACCTTAAGAAGAACTGAGTTTTATTCTCTGAAACTTTTCTTTCCTCTGCCTGAGGAATTTAAAATGCTGCTTCTGTGATCCTAAGAGCGAGCATTTCTCTCCAAGTAAAACAGACAATTAAACATGGCCAGAACTCACGAGTTTGGAAAAAAGATGGGTTGTTTCATGATTACACCATAACCAGTACAAGGTACATCCCAAAAGGTTGCTCTCAAGTATGGTAAAAATACACACCGAGTGAGAAATTCAAGCAGCTCTGAAGTTTAAGCATAACTCCTGTAGATTTTGTCAAAAGATCTATATTATTGGAATCCCACAGGTTGTCTGCACAGCATCCTTTCAATTCAAAGCTTGAACTTGATCCAAAAATACACAACTCAAGCTCCTCAGAGACCTTGAGAAGAAACTTTCACATTTTCTTCATAAATATAATTAATAAAGAAGAAAAGGCACTAGCCCACATTATAGTCCGAATTATTGCACCAACGCTGTGATGGGGCAGCTGCTGTTCAGCCCTCTGCCAAACAGGGAAGACATCTGCATGCTTTGGAGGCCATAGACTTTTCACAAGATTATTACATAGAGAATCCATTTACCCCTTGCACCAAAAACCTTAGTGGAACCGTGTGGCAGCTGCAGGCTGGGCATTTCATCATTAGTGGGACTGTTTTAAAAACCTCTTCCCCAGTGCTGATAAAGATGTTTTTCAGGTGAAAAGTTGTTTTGTTTTTTTCTCTTTTTTTTCCCCTCCTTTTCCATTGAAGATGAAGTAGAAACAGAGATATACTAACAAAGATACACCTCGTTGGTGGCCAAATTTGGCACACATCACAAAATACAGGTTGCTCTGGATTTGGACCATGACTCCTATTTACAGATGCAAGCAAAGACTGTCATGGCTGACAATGCAGTTAATGTTGGTGGAAAAGAGTACTGAAAGCTTCCTCAGCATACAAAGAGCAGCCCAACTGCTTGCTAGCCTTAGGGCAACGTACCACTTACACCTCAATTTCCTCTTAGACTGAAACCAGCAGCAACTCATGGTCTCATGTCACGTCTTATGGATACAGGAAGCCTCTACTATGAGGCACACGTGACAAAGGTTGACAAGGTGCTGAGCTGGGTCTGTGATCTGCAGCTAGAAGCAGTAGCTCTATATGTTTCTCAGCCACTAAGTCCAGAGCTGATCCTTCCCATGTTCCATGTAAAATGCAGCAGTAAACACCCACTTATAATCCAGCTGAGTTTTCTCATCCTGCATAGGCTGATCCCATTATAATTCTCACTCTACCCTGCACCAGTGCTCATCAGAACATCTGTACCCTGAATCCTCAAAAGCCCTAACAATACTTACTGGGAAAATCAGCTTCCCCACTCCCTCCCACCTGCTTTGTGGACAGGGTACTGGAGTGCTCTCTCCCCTGGCCCTAATAATAAAGTGCTGTGCTGAAGGGGAAGAGAACAGCTTAAGTGCAATCAATAAAAGTGCTTGCAATTCATGTAGGAAACCATTCTTGGGTCAGCTTCATTCCAACTGGCTGTATTCTTTCAAGAAACAATGAAATCAGGAATTGCCAGGAGGGCCTGTGTCAGAAATATTCAGACTCCAAACACTGCATATTGGCCCCTCAACAGCCTTCCCTTTCCCCCTCCCGCAATACACCAGCCCCTTTCCTGCAGAGCTGGCAGAACCTCAGGCTTTAAGGAGTAAGAGGGAGGCACTGGAATACCTGCCTTCTTTCTAGTGCTTGCATAATTTCCAGACAGTTCTGAACAGAACACAGCTCATCTGGGCACTCATAGAACAGACTACAGCAAAAAGTAGACAGCCCAGACCGTAGCACTCCCAGTTTTTTCTCCGCTTGATTAAGGAAGCAACAGATGCCTGTATGCCTTGCAGAGCCCAGGTCCCCTTAGGGGCATGACAGCCCTTGCATGATAGAGCTTCCTGGGACAGACAAAGTGGGAGTAGTACTTGTAGGATTACAAAGCTGTGTCAAACTCCTCTGTCAGAGCCACTGCAGGCTCTTCTTTCTGCTCCTCATCTGCTTCATTCTCCTGGTGCTGCTTCATTTGTTCTTTCACTTCCTCCTCCAGATCAGGTGGCACCACAAATTGATCCTCTGGCTCCATCTGAGATGGAGCAGCAAAATAACCTGTCTTCTTCTTGGGTGCCTCTGTAGCTACTTCAATGAGGTTAAGGCTCTCCTCCAAGGGCACTATGGAGCCATTGGAAAGCTTCTTTCCATAGAGACAGCACGTGGAAGGAGATTTCTGCAGTTCACTCTTTTCCTTGACCCCTCCATGTGCAGCTATGCTGTTTATGCTGTTCTGTCTCTGAATGATGAGGACAAGTCCAGAGTCATCCTCTACCCCTGCAGCAGAGGAGCTGTACTCTAAAGCAAGAGGTTCAAACTCCAGACCCTTGCCTTTACAGCAGTGGATGTCCACCTCTACCTCCACTTTACTGCCATTTGACATCACACCTTCCACAGGCTGCTCATCGTCACTATCCAGGCCATTGTCAGACTGGTTACTGGAGAAGGTGGCACTGGAAGGTTGGCGCTGAAAGATGCTTGAGGGGAGCAGAGGATGTAGGCTGCAACGTCGCTCTTGTCGTGGTAGCAAACTGCCATCAAGACCAACAGCATTGTGTTCATCTGAAGCAGTAGAGCCCACCTCACTGCTAACCTCAGAAGCAGACAGTTCACTACCGAACTCTGAAGCGATTCCGCTGCTAGAGGAAGGCGTTGCTGTCTTGGCAGTGGTGGAACTAAATCCCCCAGGGCCTGGTAAAGAGAGACCATGCATCTCACAGGTGCAGTTGTCCTCACTGATGTTCAGATACACCACCATTGCACCTACATTGTCCTGGCAACCGTAGCTTTGGGCTAACGTGCAAAGTTTCTTTGCAGCAGCTAGAGGGTCATGTAGATGGCGCACAGCTGAGACAGCCTCCGTGTAAGAAAGGTGTTCCCACAGTGCCTTGTTCCCTAGAAGCAGCAGCTCATCTTGTACAGTCAGTGGAATGGAACTGACATGTGGCTTGGGCAGGATCCAAGGGTGCAAGTATGTGCAGCCTAGCATCCGAGTACAGCAAGTCACACCGTTTACCTTATTGTCCTGCAGACAAGAGAAACAAAGCAGTACAATTAGATCTGGTATTAAATCATTTGGAAGGCACTCTCAACCTGCCCGGGAACTACTTTGGAGCCTTGAGAAATGCCAGTACACAGGTAACATCAGCTACAGTACAGGAGAAAGGGATCCAGGTCCAGGATTCAGTCTAAGTGCTACAGAGTGTAACAGAACACATGGACAGGTTATCCCTGTCAGAATCCCTTCCAGCAGAGAGCCTCTAACCTTTTTAAAGACCTGCAGTGCATAAAGCCAATACGAATGGCACTGATTTCTCAGTTCTTTACCGACTACGTATTTTCCAGTTCTTCTGAACTTCCCTCTTCCTAGTTTTTAGAAAGTTAACCTTTAAAATGGTTCCCGGAGAACTCTCCAACGTTTTTGCATAAAAAACACTGAACATCTCAGCTTTTTTGTTGTGCAAAACTTCCACCTGTGGCTACCTGATATCCACTTTCATATGGCTCAACAGGCACTAAGCCCATAGATGGTCCACCAAGAACAACAAAGTATGAACAACAGATCACAGATACGTAAAAAACTAATGAAAAGAGAAACAATTTGACCACAGATACGTTAAATGTGACCATGAGCTGGTGTCAACAGAAGAGGAAGGGAAAGTGCCCTATAAGTAACCTTTAGGCTCAGTAAGGACTATCAATATATAATTAACAAGATAGTAATGAGATTGCAGCTACTCCTTCTCAAACCTAGAATCTTCTAGCTCCATCATACACATGTTCAGCAAAGATGAAATAGAGTAACTAATTAGAAACTATAATGATAAATAGTTTTGTAAACAGCTATGCATAAATAACAATGCTTCTACTTTATGCTTGCTTTACAGAAGACTGTCAAACACTTAATTCTGTGCAGAATTAAAACAGAGACGTTCACGTGAATTTTGACTGTGTGCTTACTGTCTATGCACACCAGGCACAAAATCACTCTCTAATGGGAATAACACCTTCAGTGAGTAAAACACGGAAGACATCCACAGAAAGATACGTGAGTCATGGTTTTCCTGACATAGGATAGATCAGATACTTTGAGTTTTGAGAGAAGATGATTTCTCAGGCCCCGTTCTGTTCCTCAGTGGATCTTCTCCACACTTACCTACGTCATGAACAGTATTACGTACCAACCTCCACATCCCCATTTATGTTTTCTTTTTTCTCCCCCCTCATCCATGGCATTCTGTACCTGTAATTTTCAGGCTATGATGGGTATTTAAGGAACATGCAATTCTGAACAGCTAATGCGCAAGAGAAACAGAGCATGAAGCAAAGGATAAGTCGTCTGAAGACCTTCACACCACCCTTTCCTGCAGTGTTATGCAGACAGTGAAGCTCAGAATGGCAAGTACTTGAAACAAGCTTTTCATAGAGGGTGGAAATTGAAGTGAGGGGGCTCCAAACCAACCTCTGTTATAATTGCTTTTTGCTCCTTGATTCTCTTGGCCTCTTCAGTACACTGCTCAAGACTGAAGACTTTGGAGAGGAGCAGCGGTTTTCCACTTCGGCACAGAACAGCTTGGCATGTTCCCACATTGGCCACAGTCAGAGAAAAGGTGCTCGCTGGATCAGCCGTATCATGATGAATATAGCAAAGGACAGCAGAGGAACCCAGCTTCTGCCCAGCCATGCCCAGCTTCCTGTTGAAGGAGAAGACATAGGAAGGCTCCAGACTTCACTACAGGTATTTGGGAGGGCTGCCTCACCCCACCTAGCACATTATCTGATGCACCTATACAGGTCCAAACCAGGACCAGCTTGCTCACAGTCATACCTGTGAGAGACCAAGAAGGTGTTGGACATGAACAGTGTGTCTGACTGCTGAACCTCCTCCAGGAGCACATCAGCCATAGTGCACTGCAGCAGGCGTGGCAGCTCCTCGTTCTTGTCACCATCAAACATGCCATACACAGCCTCCATCCCTTCTGCAAAGCTCCCCAGTGCCAGGGACGACACACACAGCCTGTTAGAAAAGCATACAGGCAAAATTAGTCTGCCTCAGAGGACTGTATGGTCTCCAAAACCACAGCCATCAGTATCTTGCCACGAGTACTGTTCTCACAAAGCAACAAAGCCACTGCCTTGACATCCACCGCCCCACAACGTGTTCAGCTGTTGTTTACTACCGGAACACCTGAATTCTCTTTGATCACACTAAGAGAAAAACGGATGTAGTATGCATGCAATAGCAAAAGCATCTGCTAGAGTGGAAAGCCTTGCCCAAGGGTCCTAAGACAGGCATGACAAACGAGGGTAAGCAATGTTGACACTAAGCAAGAGATACAGAGAGATTAGAATGGATGAGCTACTCAGCAAAACATGTCTGCTTGGATGCTTAGCAATGCACTTCACCTAGCACCTCAGAGACAAAGTGTCAGGGTTCAGCAGACCATGATACTCACTTATTTCTTTGCCCTGCCATCTCAGCTACTCCATGACTCCAAAAAGTAGAAGTGAGAGCTGAGTCTGCTGTGAGGGAGGGCTTAGCATCAATCTTCAGTGTGGTAATGTGACTATGGAGAGAGAAGAAAAAAAAATTAATTCTTCTCTCCTAGACGCCATGGTGAACAGCTTGTTCCAAAGGGCCATGTCCCCTCCAGAATTTTGGACAGCAGCAAAGAGAGGAATTTAAAGTCTTGGCATTCTGAAGATGTCAGAATAAACATGCCAGACACAGCTGGGAGAACTTCCATTTGAGAAGTTTTTTGCCCTGATGATTTGAACCCGGCCCTTTCCCTTACTACAGGATAGAAAGCTTCAGCTGCCTGAGGCAGGGCACACTAAAATTACACAATGTTGTGTAATATACATTGCTATCCCTTTTCCTCTCCTGGAAGACTTCCCCTTTCCCATACCTGTCTCTACTGGCTTTGCAACTCCATGACTCTCACCTGAAGATATCCAGTGTCTTGTGCTCTAGCACCAGGTTTGCATTTCCAGTCAGGTCTAGCTCTTGCAAAGTAGCTGGCAGTGCCTCAGGGATTAGGATTTCATTTAATTCATTGCAACTCAAGTCCACAATCTGAAGTAGAAAAAAAAAAAAAATGCATGATGGCAAAGAACATATTCTCTGTTTTTTCATGTGATCAGTTACCAGGTATTCCAGTGCTCTGTGCTAACATCAGATGATCCCACTAGCAATTGTATCCCACAAACAGCTCATGAAAATGATGACGACCTATGAGCCAAGGTCACAGCAGTGACGATGAACGAGAATTGAGTAATCTTCAGTCAGTTAAAAAAGGCAACAGATCTTGTATGTGTTTTTTGTGCCCTCTTCATGAGTGCGCAAAACATTGAGATCTTCAGTTGCTCTTTTAGCAGTTACTTTTAATTCTCCTACCCAAGCTTCCTCCTGATATCTCATTACCTTTTAGGTAAGAATACCTGTATATGAGGTAAATGCAGGATCTCTGGAAAGATGCTGATGTCATTAGAGTGTGCAATAAGTGTATGAAGTAGCTTGCAGTTTGCCACAGTTGTGGGAATTGTTTTCAGTTTGTTGCCACTCAGATTCAGCTCTTCCAAGCGTTCTAGCTTACTGAGTTTGCTGAAAGGGAACAATAGAATATTGTGTCTTAGAGGCCAGAATTTATCACTTTCTGGACCTGCAGATACAGCATCCACAGAGACATTTCTAATTCATTGGTATGAGACCAAAAGTCATGTGTTTACCTCGCAGGGAAAGCCTGAAGGTTGTTGTTTGCCAGATGCAAGATCCGTAGGTTCGGGTGTCCCACCAAGACAGGGATGCATTGATCTGTGAGGTTGTTATTGGTCAAGTAAAGCAGCTGCAGCATGCTCAGACTCTCCTCCCCTGTACATGCAGAGGGCAAGGACTCCAGGCTATTTGCAGATGCATTCAGGCACCTGAGACTAACCACAGCAAATGCAAAACAAAACAAAACAAAAAAAACCACTTCATCTAAACCACTCCACTAACAGCAGGAAAAGTAGCTATACAGCTATAAAATTGCTTATGCAGATGGAGAAAGAGCAGTAGGCAGGCAGGTCAGACAACAGCGTAACATCCCTAATCACATTAAGATTTATGAGTCCACAAATGACCATTAGCTACATGTCACTGCAGATGCAGTTTTACAGTAAACAGTGGGTACTGTAAAATAGATGGAGGAAGTGGGTAATAGAGGTGGAAGAAGACTACACAAACTTTTACTCTGAGTCCTTTAAGAAGGGTTGACTCAAGTCTGAATAGACCAACAGCACGGGTCTCTGTTGCTGTTTTTCTGAGACCTGTTGTATTTCTGCAGTAACATCTGAAAATCTGTACAGCTTTTCTTTGCTAAAGACAAAACTTGCCAAGCAGTAATGTGACCTTAGAAGCAGTTGCAACTGAAGTTAATACCATGGCTGGCTGTTAGGTTAGGCACATATCTATTTTCCTGTAATTAAATATTAACATGGACTGATTCTCTCACACCAACTGGGTGATTTCTCATAGGACCTGAGTTACCTCATCATAATCTTTCATGCAAATGCCAATAAAGCCCACAGCACCTCACAAGGAAAGTCACGCAAATCTCTCTACTAGCCTTCACAGCTTCAAAGGCTAACACAGAATACCCATGATACTGCCACTCACTTCAGAGCCTTTGTAAAGAGCATCTCGGGGAGTTTAGTCAACAGGTTGTGTTGAAGGTCCAGCACCTCCATTGGAATGTGCTCTAGAAGAGGTGGAAGGCTCTGAAGATTATTGTGCCCCACTGTCAGTTTCCGAAGGCTCAAGCTGCTGAGGATCCTAGAAAGAGAGGGTATGCTAGTTCAGCTTGGTTCAGTCCTCTTCCCCATCCGCAGAATGGGAAAAGGGAATATTTAGTCACATATTTGACTGTACGGCAGAGAAAAATTGAAGTACGCCAATCCATAAAATACAAACAATGACAAAGCAGAAAAATGTGGTAGGATGCTTCAGTCACTCTATGCTCAGAAGTGTATCTGCACTTCCCTTTGTGCTACTGCAGATAGACTCGAGTCTGTGTGCACATACCCAGCATTCTTTCAGACAGACAAAGAAGAGATGAAAGCCACAAAGTATAGGTTTAAATGCCTCTTTAAACTTGTAGGCAGAAAGAAGTGCTTCCCCTGTGCCAGCTTAGATTCAGAACTTTAATGTACTACTTAGCACTTCTGTAATATTTCTGATGCTGTTACATTTTTCAGAATTATAGTGCTTATTGAAAAGGCCTCAATCCCCATTAACTAATAACTGATGTTTTCAGAAAGGGCACCTGAACACAATTGGATGCAGCCTAGAACTACCCTGCCTTTTTCAGGGAGGTGATAACTTGGAATTACAACCTGATAGTCCTGTATAGAACAGCTCTGAATCATGCAGCCAAAGCTGCATTAGTGCACTGCTCCACATAGGTCAATGAATTCAGCTGCTTTCTGATTTCATAGAATGGTTTGGGTTGGAAGAGACCTCTGAAGCTCACCTAGTCAAATTTCAACGCAGCTAACTACATTGGGCAAAAAGCTATTCAAATGTAAATACACCAATTCCCACACTCAAGCTGACTCATCCAGATCTGGCTTCTCCGTTCACACTGATTGACACCACTTTGGTACAGTTCTATTTTCAGATGATTAAAAGACATCTTTATGGTGATCTATAATCTGTTGTGCAAGGCTTTTTTTATGCTTTAATCTGCTGGATAACCCTGATAGCTCAAAGTCCATGTTAGTGAAGTTGTAACTTGAAACAAGATATACCTACAGTGTTGATGGCAGACACACAAGGAAGAAATCCCCACTGGACACAGTAAATTCCAGCACTTAAAAATCTCTAAAAATATTTGAATTTTTAAAAATATGTATTTTGAGTCTGATTTCCACATATTCGTTATGTGTACCACACTTCAAATGTGATCTTTTTTATACAACACGGGAAGGAGCAGCACCTATTAGCGCAGGTCCAAAGGAGGGCCATAGAATCATAGAATCACTCAGGTTGGAAAAGACCTTAAAGATTATAGAGTCCAAACAGAACTAACCAGACCACCCTAACTTGAACAACCCTCCTCTAAATCATGTCACTGAGCACCACATCCAAATGGTTTTTGAACACATTCATGGATGGTGACTCAACCACCTTCCTGGGCAGCCTATTCTAGTGCCTTCAACCAATTCCAACCCTTTATGTACAGAAGTGTTTCCTAATATCTGACTTAAACTTACCCTGGTGCAACTTAAGGCCATTTCCCCCATCCTGTTACCTGTCACCAGTGAGAAGAGACCCTCACTGTAAGCACCTTTCAGGTATTGGAAGAGAGCAGCAAGGTCGCCCCTCAGCCTCCTTTTCCACAGATTATACAGCCCCAGTTCCTTCAGTCTCTCCTCATAGAGCATATTCTTCAAGCCCTTCACAAACCTTGCTGCCCTTCTTTGGACCTGCTCCAGCACCTCAATGTCCTTTTTGTACTGAGGTGCCCAGAACTGAACACCGTACTCAAGGTGAGGCCTCATCCATGCTGAGTACAGGTCAGGATTACTTCCCTAGTCCTGCTCACCACACCATTCCTGACACAAGCCAGGATGCCTTTGGCCTTGGCCACCTGGGCACACGGCTGGCTCATATTCAGCCAACTGTCCATCAGTACACCAAGGTCCCTTTCCATCAGGCAGCCTTCCAGCCGCTTCTCCCCAAGCCTGTAGGGCTGCCTGAGGGGTTGTTGTGAGGACCCAACACTTGATCCTATCAAAATCACCAGGGACTGGTGCATTCTCCTATGAAGGCAGGCTGAGAGAGTTGGGGTTGTTCAGTATGCAGAAGAGAAGGCTCCAGGGAGACCTTACACAGGTCTTCCAGTATTTACAGGAGCCAACAGAAAAGATGGGGAAAGACTCCATCAGGGATTGTAGTGACAGGACAAGTGGTAACTGTTAAACTAAAAGAGGGCAGTTTTAGGTTACATACTAGGAAGAAATTCTTCACTACAAGAGTGGTGAGACTGGAACAGGCTGTCCAGATATGTGAATTCAGTATTCCTGGAAGTGCTCAAGGTGAGACTGGATAGAGCTTTGGCCAACCTGATCTAGTGGGCGATGTCTCCTACCATGTCACGGAAGTGTGGTAGCACTGGATTATCTCTAAGGTTCCATCTAATCCAAACCATTCTACGGTTCTATCATCCATCAGTAAGGGTAAATTTATACGTTCTCTTACCTTTGATGCACATAGTCTTGTCTCTTACAACCACTACAGCGTCACTGCTAAGAACATTTCCTATGCCTGCTGCTTTAACTACTTCAACCGTCTGCATTTCTTCGCTGTAATCTAGCATCGCGTTCACATTTCAACATAGCTGACAAAGACACTCTCATTCATTACAACCACACTCTCTACTAAACACGTGTTCAGCCAAGAACATCTGGGCTTTGGTTCTCCCCACAATATCCCTTGTACCTCGAAGAAGTCACTATAAACACAAAACAATAAAATAAACAAAATACTACAAAATCATATTCGTTCTTGGCTCCCAGTTACTACTTTGCTGCAGAAGCTGAAATGGGAGCAGGCAGAAAGGAGTTGGCTTATGATGTTTGTGAAAGCTGCCTTTGCTATAAACTACATAGTATCTCTGGGATATCTTCTTATTTAACTAGTGAAAACTCTGGAGTGATATAAGGTATGTTAGGGCTTCATCTGTAAGTTGAGCTTCACAGATGCTACTGTAACACAAAGTTAATTCATAGCAGTGTGTTTTACTTCAGGTGCAAACTTCTGGCAAAGGATAGAACTATTTGGTCTTTGCTAATCAAAATTTGCAAGTCAGTTCTTTCAGCACATGAATGCAAAGTACTTTGGAAACTTCACAGAAAAGTTAAGTAGATTCTCTATCTGCACAACAAGGAATAAAGAGGAATAGCACTGCTTCTCTTTTTCCACTCAGCTCCCCATAAAAGGATGTTCAGATATGTACAATAAAATAGTCTGCTGACCTTGATGGGAGCTCCACAAGGAGGTTGTAGCTCATATCCAAAATTTCCAGTTTCTTTGCTTCACAGGCCCAATCTGGAACACACTGCAGCTGATTGCTGAGAAGAACAAAGGGAAAAAGCTAGATACCAACACCTGATAAGGCATATGCCCTGTCTGAACAGTGCACTGCACTGTTGACAGCTAAATGAAAAATAATAGGCAAAAAATGCACCACAGTATCTGAGCTACTCACAAGGCATTTATCTCTTAGCCAGCTGCATAATGCAATATGATTGGTAGGAATTACTGTTGCAAGGCTCTGATGATCATACTTTTGTTTTCTTTCAAGCACCAATATAGCAGAATCAGCCACCTTATGCTACCCAGCTAACATGCTTCAAATCCAAACTGAGGTGGCAGGTGATCAGATTCCCTATTTTACAGGTCTGACAATCCTGTTACTATAGGGCAGACATAGGAAATGAAGACAGCAGTCATGATCACCAGCACAGTCTAAATATTTGCCCTGCACATTCTCACCATTCAGCCTAGTAAGTTCTTGCAGGTTCAGTGGTCTTTATTTGGTCTGTCTTGCTGATTATAGCCTACAGCTGACGGACAGCCAATCACCTAGATAGGTGAAAACAATTCAGAGGAGCTTCTGATCTGCAACAATTTCATCATTGTTCAGTACTGGGCTTTCCAATTCTACTGTGAAGATGAAATGCCTTTTCTCAATTGCTCTCAACTCTTTCAAAAGCATAACAGTTCCAGGAAATGTCTGCAGAAAATACCAAAATTGTTCAGATATTTGCTTTATATTCTGTGGTGTATAGTCACTTACTGAGCAAGTTCTAGACATGTCAGTTGACCAGGAACCGGATAAACACTGACAGATGTGAGACCTGATGAAATAAAGCAAATAAATATTACTGCAGAGCTCAGAAGGAAAACAGCAAAGCAGCACACAGATTAGCTAGTAAGTGACACTGATAGTCTTTACTCTGCAGACACAATGTTTCTACTCATCTTTTCTAAGAGTTCAAACTTCATACATCCATCATATATCAGCACAGCTTCTCGCTGTCCAGCTCTGTCTGCCACACGAACACCAGAATAAAGGAGAACAGTACTTCTACGTGTGGACTCCCAAACAATTCTCACTGGAAGGCAAATACCTTGGTGGGCAACTCAGCACTATACTCTCTTGCTGTTACACAGCCTGTGTGCATATATCCATAATACGATCCCTATGAGTAGACCTCAGAAGCCCCATCACCTATGCTCTCAGTAATATCAGTAAACATTAGCGTTTTTTGTGAGAGGAGATGTTGTTTCCTTTGTTCCCAGGGCTTGAAGGAAGAAGGCATATGTGGAACATAAGGACACGTACAGTTGTTGCTGGCATACAGAGCCCGAAGGGAGAAGCCACTCAGTGTCAACTCTTTCAGCTTATTCCGCTCGCAGTGCAGCTGCTCCAGGCTACCCAATGAGCTCACATCCAGATATGTCAGTTGATTGTCTCGCAAATCCATGTAAATCACAGAATTGTTCCCCTCCAGAGTGTCAGCTGCTGCTCTCTTCAGGTTGTTCAGCCTAAACACTCAGAAATGAGAGGTAGAGTCAGAAATCAGAACACTGAACACCGTACATGAGTAAGAAAAGAGAAAGGAAGAGCTCCAGCACAGGCTTTCTTCCAAGTGCAGCGAGGTGTATGAGTAGCAACAGTGGATTTCAGTCTCTAAGCGTGAAAACAACCAGTTCCTGTCCGCATGGCGAGGTGAAGCAGTTCTACTCACTTCCCAGTGTTCAAGAAATTCTGAAGACCACAGTCTATAAAGTTCGAGTCAGATCAACGGATGCTTTCTTAACACTGAGAACATGCAAATGCAGAGACTAGATAATACACTGCCTTGTTACAGACAAAAAATTCTTTGTCCCTTTCTGAGAACTCTGCAACTGGCAACCTGGAGGATCTGGAACATACCTCTAGAGAGGAAAAAAAGCAACAGAAGGCTAAGAGAGATCAAAGAGCTACTGAGCTCACAATAACAATATTAAAAGAGGAACTTAGAGTACTAAGTGACATTCTCAAATTCCCACAACAGGGAATTGGAAACTAGGTGATCTTCATGGTCTCTTCCAACCAAAACAATTCTATCATTCAGTAGTTTCGTGCACTGCTCAGCTGACCTTGTTTCTCTAAACAAATCCTGCACATCCTCAGAAATAGAACTCCCTTGAAGTAAAAAGAATCACTAAGTGGGAAAAAAACCAACATGGGAAAATGTACTACAATACACACAGTTCTGTACAGTAAATAGAAAGTGCTGTTCCGTTTCTTTTGTGTACGTGTACCTACACACACTCACTCCTAAATAGATACACATGTACACACACACCCCTACATGGATACAGATGCACACACACACGTTTACTCTTACCTCAGGTCCACGCTTTTGATGTGATTCATGCGGTTCAGCACTGTAAGGTCCAGGTTCTCTAGCAAGTTCCCTGCCATGGCTATTTTGTCTAAAACTGTGAGTTTCTCACAAATCGCTGGCAGCTCACAGAAGTTATTGAAGGAAAGTCCAAGACAGCTGAGCTGCTGTAGACTTCCAAGCTCTTCTGGTAAGGACGTGAGGAAATTCCCATCAAGCCAGAAGCTTTGGAGACTACAGAAGTGAAAGCCAAAACAAAAACCAACCAATCAACAAAAAACAACAACAAATAAGAAAAAATACATTAAGTAACTCAGTGAAGAATAGTGACTGTCACATTTCATGTTTTCAGTGAGTGGTGTGTGGTTATTTTTTAATGGTACCTAACAGTTAACTTTATTATTGTATACATAAAGTTACTGGAGTGCTTTTATCACTGATATTTCATAGTCATGGAACTGTGTGTATACAATGGCAAATAATTCCTAAATTATAAAAGAGGCAAACTTCTGATTGTGCCAAAATTCAAAAGTTATTTTAAGCAAAATACAAATCTCCACTTGCTTTGTAAACAAAGGATATTTACATAATCATTTGTTTTCTACAAATTAAGAAGAACCCATTTAGCATGCTGTAACAGAACAGGCCTACATGATTGCCCATCCCACAGTAACAACAGAAACATTAAGTCATGGACATCTTCATCACACCACCACTGCAGTTTAATATCACTATTACAGCACGCATTTACAGCAACTGCACCTACAGCACAGCTAAATCACAACTCCTACCACCCTAAAGCTATGCTAACACATTTCTTATACACATTTCCAGCCATTTAGAGAGGAGTATTTTCCAGGGTAGCAAAATAAATTGTTTTGAAATTTGCATAGCTTTTGAGACTCCAATCTCTAAAGTGCAATCCTTTTCTTATGACCATGTTCTAACAAAGAACTTTCTCAAGAGTGATAGAAAAGCACTCTGAGAATATGATGCATCCCTATAAAGGATGAGGACTCAAGAGATGTGATGCACATCAAGAAATCATAAGTCACCCCACAACAAAGACAAACCCACAAAGAACTAACGCCACAGAGAGCAGAAAAAGCTTCAACGGAAATATATTCATAGGCTTAGAAGCCTTCAAGTCTATTCTAGTTTGGCAAAGTAGCACCTATGATTCAAGACACAGTAACTAATCTAAGTGTCTTCCTAGGCCACTCCACACAGGCAAAATCCATCAGTCATTGTTACAAATCTGGCTTACCCCAGCTATTTTAAAATACTAATAGAATAGACAGGAAGTCACAAGTGATGACTTGCTATATACCAGTGACTTTTCAAATGACAATCATGTAAACATCTTAACTTTGAAAGAAAAACTTTTCTGTACCTCTTGGGTCTCAGCCTTCCACCCAAGTCAAAACTAGCACTCAGTCTCTGGAACTAACAGGTTGATGAGCACTTAAACTTCTGTAATTGGCCCCTTTACATCAGCTGTGCTACACCAAAACACCAAGGTTTATAACCACAGGAAAAAAAAGGAAAGAAAAAAACACTCACTTCAGCAGCTTGCCAATCTGGGTTGGCAAGTGATGAAGTCCATTACAGGACATGTTGAGTTCGGTCAGAGTAGAGATCTCACACAGCGATACAGGAAATTCCCCCAGTCTGTTATGAGACAGATTCAAGCTCTTCAACTGAGAAAACCTAGAGGCAAGAATTTCAGTTGATTATCAAATATCCATAGTCTCAAAGCAAACAATCACAAAGGCTTTTGAAGCCTTTGTACACAACAATATGGTCAGCTGAATCGTTACGGCAGTTTTTACACAAATACTATTTTAAGCCACTGATATTTCATATCTCAGTGGTAATGCTGAGAGTGATCAAATACCATGCTTTTACTGCAGAAACAGACAAGAACCTTTAAACCTGATCCCTGACAGACTCTCTCTGTGTGACTCTGATTAACTAAAAGGAAGCTCTCAGTTCAATAAATTTACCTTCCAATAATTATTTGGAGTAACACTCTAAATTTTGAAGTTGCATAATAATACATTAACTGGAATGACTCTAAGAATGGATTAAAAGAGAGGAACACCCATTTAAGGGAAGTACAGCAGAAGGCCTGGCAGACCTGTGAAATCGAATGGCAAAGAAGTGCCGACTCCACACTGAGCAGCCTCAGGATCAGCACCCAGAGGTCCTTGAAAGGATTTCCACACTGAAGTGCCATGTGCTTGGCAGACAAACCATGAGCACAGCTGTGTGCAAGTACTGGGGTGGCTCTCACAATCACTACAGTCCCACACTTGTGCTTAACAAGGTGTTGCCCTCCTATAACTGCCAGGTCCAAATTCGTGAAAGAAACTGAGCACAGGCTGGGGCAATATGGAAGAAATTCCCCTCAAAGAGATCCTCCCTCTTTCTAAGAAACACAAAAGCAGTTTTCCTTGAGTAACAACCTTGCCATCCCAAACATAATCCATCAAAAAAGAATTCATTTAGGAAATTTATAATGTACTCTTCCAAGACAACTGCAAATCTACCACATTGTTGACAGAGAAACACATACCTCGTTCATAATGTACTTTTTGATGAGGCAAGGTTGGAGCTAAATGACCTTTAAGGATCCTTCCATTTTCACTTATTATTTTTAAGTGTTTTTATATAATTAAATAAAACAAGTTTAATTCACCTTCCTTCTTGGGTTGGGGGCTCCAGAACTGGACGCAGTGCTCCAGGTGGGGTCTCATGAGAGCTGAGCAGAGGGGTGGAATCACCTCCCTCAACCTGCTGGTCACACTTCTCTTGATGCAACCCAGGATATGGTTGGCCTTCTGGGCTGCAGGCACACACTGCCAGCTCACGTTGAGTCTCTCATCAAACAACACTCTCAAATCCTTCTCCTCAGAGCCGCCCTCCAGCCATTCTCCACCCAACCTGTATCTGTGCTTGAAAGTGCCCCAGCCCAGATGCAGGACCTTGCACTTGGCCTTGTTGGACTCCACGAGGTCGGCGTGGGCCCACCTCTCAAGCCCATCCGGGTCCCTCTGGATGGCATCCCTTCCCTCTGGCAGGTCAGCTGCATCATTCAGCTTGGTATCATCTGCAAACTTGCTGAGGGTGCACTTGATCCATTTCGGCTACAAAGATATTAACACCAGGCCCAGCACTGATCCCTGAGGAATGCCGCTCATCACCGTCTGCTCTTGGACATTGAGCCACTGACCACAGTGTGATCATCCAGATAATAAACACACTCAATACGTTCTCGTTAAATCACAGTTTCCTTAGATGATTTCGAACCTGATCTTCAATTACAGCAGGCAGATATTCCTTCTCCCAGTTCTTACCTTTGCTACCTTTCATACAAATTGGTTCCATTTTAAGAGATCTAGAGCAGTTCTCAGGTTTTGGAATCAGCAAATACTGGAACTGCTTTCTCAGGAATTCAACGATAGCTTTTTACATGGTACCTATTCCTAAAATTAAGCAGCTCTTTTTTCCGAGATAAGCAGACTGGTGAGAAATTGCCCTTAAGAGGTAAGGCATTAAATGCAACATCTTAACCAGGTTTTAGAATTCATCCTCCCGCAGTGATATCAAAGCAAACGCAAAGGGGGGCATAAAATTTTCAAAGCTTCCTACCTCTCCTTTTCACCAACATTCTTCACCAGTAAGAGACAGAGGAATGGACTGCTAACCTCTCATTCAAGCTGTATACGTGAGTTATTTAGGTGGTAAGAATCCTGAAATCGTGTTCACTGGTTCCTTTCCCCCCCCCCTACAGCAGCATAAGAATCAATAATTTCATTTACTGCAGTCATGTTTTCCTTTTATTATGGCTCCTCAGTTCTGGTTTGCGCTCTCGCAGAGCATACTGAGATAACAACAAAGAGATACTGAAACACAGCAACCAAGTCACAATGGGATCTAGCCTCTTTTACAACAGCCCAAACAGGAGCCAGTCTGGGGACAGAAATAGTCCATATATTGCTTTTGCTTGTTTGTAGATTTCAGCTCTATCACCTGACAGAGTCAATGCCAGGGAGAACTGGGTTTCTAACATACCAAATCTATTGTTGACTTACATGCAAGGTCAAGCCCCTTTGCTGATCCTGTGAACTAACAATGCTACATTTTATAAAAAAAGTTCTAGCTCTGTTTTTAACATCATCCAATGTACTTGGAGAAATAGAAAACAAAAGCTAGAATTATTTTCAACAGCTTTTCCAGTAACAATGCATTACAATATATTGAGTATACTTAAGCAAGCTCAGAATTAAAACAAAATTGGACTCTTCTTGGTTCTCAAAGAAATTGCAAAGAATTCCCATAAACAAGCAACTTTTTTCTTACTCATGGATACTTCTTCCTACTCTGTAGGAAGAAAAATGAAATATCCTAGTAACAGGCATTTAGAGATTCAAAATAATATTTTAAAAATTAAAAAAAAAAAAAATAAATCAGACCTGCAGCTCTGCCAAGCTTCTCCAAATATATTTTCCCTAAAGCACAATAGGATCCAAAGCAGCACCATTTGACAGTATTACTACAGGCTTCCTAATGGTTTTAGAAATTCATTCAGTGACTCTCTTAAATCTTTTTTAAAATGGGCAGTATATAGACATCAAACTAATCTTCCTCTGAATTGAGTTTCTCCAGAATTCATTTAAAGCCATTTTAGTAATACTTTTTCACTTACACAATTACAATACACTTCCATACCATTACATGTTGCCCACTCTCTTAAGAGTCTATTTCAAGTTGCCAAACTAAAACTGGAGCATCGCAGACCCTCTGCCAATTCCAAACGCACTTTAACAATCAGAACTGAAGTTGGATCTTACAGATCTTCCACAAACTCTTACCAGCAACAGCAGCATTATGCTTTTCCTCACCTTTATTTTGTATCCCTAAATGCTCTCTATTTATCAAGCAGTTTATCAGTTTTTCACCTTACCAGCAGAAATAGAATACCACTCCACAAGGCTCACCTCAGGCAAAACTTAGCATAAATAATTTGTAAAAAGAAATTCACAAATACTGTAAATTGCTGGAAGCTTATACCTGCCTGCACTGCTCAGTCTTGCTTCCTAGTTCCCTCATTTGTTAGAGTTCGCTTCAGATCAATCTTTTACGGTCCCACAACAACAGGCAGTACATTCCCTTCTCTTCAGCCCTGGATGCTCGCATCCAGAACTCGAGATGTAAATAAATAAATAAAAATTCTTTACATACCTGCAAAGAGAGCCAAGACTGCCTGCTCCGCTTGATCTCATAAAATTGTGTCGTAGGTTGAGGTAGGTGATGTCTTGACTGTAGAAGAGATGCTCAGGTACTTCCTCCAGACTGTAGCATGAAAGATCAACCATGTTAAGTCGCATAGACACAACCTGAAAGGAAGGAGCAAGAGTTGCAGCTGTGCAACAATTCTTATATGGAAGTTCAATGGAAAACCAAAGACTGCAAGCAGTAAATAATCCACGAAATGGAAGAATCCCCATATACCCTCCAAACATAGCAGGAAACCAAGTCCAGGGAGTTTGAGTTTATGGCACTTGCTACTCCATGACAAGATGACTAAAAAACTGTATCTCTGGATAAGGAAACTGCTGAGAAAGCAGTCTGACTGCCTTCCAAAGATGTAAACAGCAAAATGAAGCAGCTTTGCAGTTGTGCTCTTTATGGTCTACAGAACCTTTCTTTGGCCTACCTATTACTCTGACTTTCTTTTGTTTGCTTGTTCAGAGTATAATATCAGAAATATTAAAAATGAAAAAAGCTTCACATGGTTTTGCAACATTTCACAGTCTCTGCAAACATCAGGTCTCCTTTAATTAAATACACTGTCTCAAGGTCTTACTTGTTTCATTTAAGAGTTTACGACCAACTTCAACTTGTACCATATTTCATGGTATATCTTTGAGGTCAAAGAGTAGTTCAGCGTTGAGCTATCACCAGCTAATTGTACTTTAATCTGGAATAAGGAAGCAGCTCTGAACAAACTACACTTACCTTGCTGACCTACGATCTCTTGCTTTACTTAACTCAACCCTATGAAGGTAGCCCCAAGTAAGTCTAGGCCACAGGTAACACGGGTATGGTAGTAGAAGCAATTAACAGATCTCTATGGCTGCAGAGCCAGCCAGTCCCTGGGGATTGTTCTAATGAGCTGTGATTAACTACCCTCACTAGGTGCAGCGGGGGTGAAAAGAACGCAGAACTGCTACTCAACACTGCTGTACAGCCAGAGCCCCAGGAGAAAGCTCAAAGAAAGCTTCTGTAATCTCAAGCATATGAGAACTGAAGAAAGCTGGAAAGCATCCCAGGTACTTTCTCCAGCATCACAGTTTAAACCTCTGCCTGCAGACTCAGCCCGTACAACAAATCCCTTCATTCCCTTGGCACCCACCACCCCAACTGCTGCAGTCCCCAGTGCCTCACCGTGGATGCCTGTCGGTGCCACCGCTGGCACTCTGCCAGTGTTTCGAAGGAGACGTGGTATGTTTGGGCTTGTGCTCCAGCAGATGTGAAAGCAAGTGTGCACTGCCGACGTTTCATTTCTTCAACCTGCAACGGGAGGAATGAAAACAAAAGAGTCTACCTAAATTCCAGCAATTACAATGGATCCGAAATCTAGCCTGAAATATTACAACCAGTAACGCTATATTTCAAACAAAACTCTGATATAAGGTTATTTGAGACAAATGCAATGTAGTAAAACCTTCTTAACATCTTTCTGCTGAAGTAGATCCTTTAAGTAATCATCTCCAGGATGCCTGGTCACGCTGGCTAACACTGTGAAAACAGAAGCAAGTGCCTCTGCAAGCATTTTATTAGCCTTAAGACTACCTAGTAGTAGGAAAGGATCATGCAATTCTCCCTGCGCCTGCTGATACAGCCTGGATGAACCCCGTGTGGATAAAACCCATCACTGTAACCCCCTTCTTCCTTTCTACGTTACAGGAAGCTTTAATAAAAAGTCTTACCTTCCCTCCAACAAGAGGCAAGATATGCATCTTCCCTGCATGGCTATCTTTAACAGAGGACACAATGAGACAGGTACCACAGAGAATTACTAAGCGTTCTGCCCATTTGTGCAACTGAGTCTTCCCTTTGCGTACATTATAGATTCCAGAGAGCAGGATGCGATCTAACTGTTCCATCTGGCAAGGCTTTTCTGAAGAAAAAAGGAACATGAGTGCTTACTCTCCATTTATTCTTTATTTTCAGGTACAAGCACAAACAGCAGCACAGCTGTAACATGCAACAGCAGTTACTGCAAGCAATACATTAAGACAAAACGTATAGTAGCACATAAAACAAAAATCTCATGCAGAAAACAAGAGATGTACCTGGGGCAGAAGTGTCTGACAAGCAACCACTGTATGACTTTCACTAAAGTGTTACCACAGTTGCCATGTAGAGCATTTTTAATTTTCAAGTAATTACAGACTGTGGCAAACCTACGCACTCGCTGAGCGTCTGTCCTTTGGATGCGGTAGAAAAGCAATTACAAACTTACTGTTATCTTCAGGGAGGCTGTGTGAAATGCTTTATCTAGACTGTACTGCAGTATGTTTCTCATCTCGTTTGGACTTATAAGACATTTGCCATAACATTAAGCAGAGCAATTGCATGTTCTCCATCGAGCTGTCTTCTCTCTAAACCACAAAAAGGGTCAAGAGAACTACAAAACTGCTTTTCCTATGATTCTGAAAACTCTTTATTTCAAGGAATGCTTTCTGATATTGTGTGTATGATTTAGCCATCTATGAAGCCAATGACTTGCGCTTCACCTGAGCTCCATCAGATATTTAAAACTATGGGTACAGCAACAGCATATGTGCACACAAATTCTTACCGCTGTAAAAGCGAATCATACAGCTGAGGTCAGAGTTTGCTGCCTCCTCCTGCATTCTGACAGGGTCATCAAAACCCAACCCAGCCAAGTAGTCATACACCATCTGAAGGGGCTTTTCGGTGGGTTCCAGCCTCCTAGCAAAACACACAAGAAAACAGCTTTACAACTTGAAAAAGATTAAACATGGCTCATTGCAACTGAAGTGCAAGGGATACTGACACACTGCTCTCAAAAAGGCCTGGCAAACACACACCCCTGGGTCTGCGCTTCATGCTTGTTAGGCATCAGTTAAAAACTGCAACATCTGAAGAACTTTATTGCAGAAGGGAAATGGAGAGGAAAAAACTTAAGCCATGAAATCCATGGTTTCCTTTTTGTGACTTGAAAAATATCAAGAGGAAACAATGACAAGAAACAGTATCAGAAATAATGCACAAAAATCAGACTCCCAATAATTTAAAAGAAACCCCTATTTTTAGTGACCTAAATATCTAGGAAAACTCTACTTAAATTTCTAAACAAACAAACAAACAAACGTTTCCTGATGTTCAAACAAAAATTTCTGCTTTTGAGTTTGTGCCCACTGCCTCTTTTTCTGTCAGCCCAAACACAAGTTGCTCTCAGTCTTTTTCAGGACCTCTCTTGGGGATCCAGAGGCGTACTTAGAGAGCCAAGCAGTTCTGTAAATATTTAACTGAGGTCTAAGTTATCACAACTTTTTTTTTTTTTTCTCCCCAGAAACAGCAGTGAACACAACATAAAACATTAAAAAGAGCTTTCCAGTGTGTTACTGTAAATGAAAAATCTGTGTATCTGTTACCTACAACAGCCAAGCCATTAGAAACTGGAATAAACAACAGATTGCACCAAACAGTGCAGACTTCCAATACAGCAAACCCTGATGTATTCTATAGCCTTCCAAACAGAATTCAAGAGGAATATGAGAGACATGCCTGGATCTTCAAACACCTGGCCTGAGTCTCCTGTGACTACACGCAAACTTTAGTACTTCTGCTACTGAAGCCTCGTGCTTGACAGAAAATGGCTTTTCCAGCATGTGACCTGCGGCCAAGCAGCCACAAATCCTTGAGTATCACTAACAAAAAAAAACAAACAAACAAATAACCAAAACCACTTGAAGCTAGCTTTACACTAAAACAAAACAAAAAAACATCACTAAAAAAAATATATTCAGACACTACATTTTGGTTGCCGAATGAATTGATGTGTTTAGAAGCGTGCACTGAATAATGTAATTCTTGCACATCAAAATTCAGAAGGAACCTTAACTCGTTAAAGGGTAAGTGCTTTTCAATAAGCACAGTAATACCATACAGTCACAGAATGGTGTGGTTTGGAAGAGACTTTTAAAGATCATTTAGTCTCAACCCCCTGCTGTTGGCAGGGACACCTCCCGCCAGATCAGGCTGCTCACAGCCCCATCCAGGCTGCCTTTGAGTGCTTCCAAGGAGAGGGCAACCGCAACCTCTCTGTGCAACCTGTTCCTCTGTCTCACCACCCTCATGGTCAAGAATTTCTTTCCAGCATCTAGTCTAAATCTATCCTCTTCCAGTTTAAAACTATCTCCCCTCATCCTGTTGCAACCTGTCCTGATAAAAAGTTCCTCCTCAGCTTTCCTGTAGGCCCTTCAGGTACTGGAAGGCTGCTATAAGGTCACCTCAAAGCCTTCTCTTCTCCTGTGGTTGGCCTTTGGCCTTCTGGGCTGCAGGCACACACTGCCAGCTCACGTTGAGTCTCTCATCAAACAACACTCTCAAATCCTTCTCCTCAGAGCTGCCCTCCAGCCATTCTCCACCCAACCTGTATCTGTGCTTGAAAGTGCCCCAGCCCAGATGCAGGACCTTGCACTTGGCCTTGTTGGACTCCACGAGGTCGGCGTGGGCCCACCTCTCAAGCCCATCCGGGTCCCTCTGGATGGCATCCCTTCCCTCTGGCAGGTCAGCTGCATCATTCAGCTTGGTATCATCTGCAAACTTGCTGAGGGTGCACTTGATCCATTTCGGCTACAAAGATATTAACACCAGGCCCAGCACAGATCCCTGAGGAATGCCGCTCATCACCGTCTGCTCTTGGACATTGAGCCACTGACCACAGTGTGATCATCCAGATAATAAACACACTCAATACGTTCTCGTTAAATCACAGTTTTGCAGTACTGAAAACTGTATAGTACAGTAGTATGGTTTACCTTCTTGAAGCAGTAGAATACTCTATCGTGACACACTTATCCCTTTCTCAAGATAAGATTTAACTCTATTTTTATCCTTTGCATCTTTAAGACCAGGAAGAATTAGTGCTGCAGTGCTGCTGCAGAACTTTAAATGTTAATTTGAAAAAACTAGTATTTTCATTCTTGTCCACTCAAATCAAACTGCAGTGCTCCCTGAAACACCCTTATTTTTGTTACTCAGTTTACATGAAAAAATAACGACCAGGTACAAAAAGATCATTTGTAGTAGTATCTATTCAAGCCTAATCCCTGGACCAACATGTCTCTTTCCATTAAAACCTAACTACCTGAAAACAAATCACAAGAGTGTGCTGCATTCCTGCACCACCTAGCTTTGGTTGCTGGTGGCTGGAAGGCAAGAGCCTCCCAAAAAATTACGCCTTCAGAATTCTTCAAGTTGACTGCAGAAATGCAGACGCTGTTCCAGTTTTGTTACCTGGCAGAAGTATGTGAGGTCACAGCAGAACCTACAGTTCAGCAGCAAGTCCCTGGGCTGCAACACCTCGCTCCTCAGGAGACAAAGTGCAGCTCAGTGACATATCCAAGCAAAGGCCTGGTGGGAAGGCTGACGCCTCCCTGCCCACCACAGCAGCTCTCCAGTACCAGGCACAGGAGGAGTGTGCCCAAGGAAACAGAGCTGCACAGCCCAGATCTCTCCTGATCACACTCACATGTCCAAAGGGCTTTGACAATAAAGCAATGAGCAGAAGGGCTTGTTGCCTTCTGATAGTATTCACATCAGGATACAGAGCACTTGATCGTGTGCCTCTGGGGACACTCTGGAGTTGTCACTGGAAAGACTGCCTGTCCTGTCCTATCAAGGGCAGTGTGATTTACCAATAAAATCTAAAAGTAGTCTGAAAGCAGGAAAAGGAAAACCAAAACCTGTGTATGGAACAAAGGGCCACAATGGCAATTTCTATAACAAATTTCTCTGCTAGCATAATCAGAGCTGACAGGTGTGGATGGAGTTTGATGTAGAGAATTACACTTCCACTGTGGAAACCTCAGCTGGCATGTGATCACATTAGAAATGTACAAAATTTACCTTGTACGAAGTGCAATAAATGCTGAGTACTACCACACACAGAGAAAACCACAGCAGGCAAAGCAGCTGCTACCTGGCACAAACAGCCCATGGCATCCACACCAGTATCACACAGTAGGTACTGCCACCTCCACTAAATCAGAGAAGCTGCTCCACTAAGTGAAGGGTGCAAGGATTAACAGAAAGAGAAGCAAACAAAAAATCAGCAAGTTTCACAGACTGCTGCAGCTCTTCTTCCTGAGCAACAATCACATTTCCATATCTTCTTAGTTCAAAGTTTTGTTGTCAGGTGTGAGCATCCTAAAGAAAGTAATGAAATTATTTTTATTTAATCTTCTCTTCTGCAATAAGGTATAGTTTCTAAAAAGAAAAAGGTGTTCAGAAAGAAAAGCTCTAGCTGGATTACTTAAAGATTCTTAAGGCAATGCTGCACAGGGAAAAGAATGTTCTGACAGAAACTGATTCCCAGTATACATACCTCAAAGAGAAATGCAGAAATATCACAGGAATCCAACAGTATTGAAAGTTAAAAGGTTTTCTATTATTCTTCTACCTACCGACCAGTTCGTCCAGTCTTCTGAGTCAGGTACCACATCAACTTTTGCCACGTTCAGGTTTAGAAAGAAAATCACCCACTAGTATTTAGAAGTGAATTCAGTCTTTTGAGAGACAAACATATCAAGTGTAAGATACAATCAGATGCTTCGCTGAGTAATTTGTAGTCACAGACTCACTATTAAAGCAGTCAGTAAACTTTTTTTCAAGGAAATTATTGTCTCAAGAGGGCGTAGGGATATCTTGAGCGTTCTGTCACCTTCCTGGGGAAATGGAAGCAGATACTACTTGCGATTGCCTCCTACTCCTAACAGAGATGGATACCAAAGCAATACCAACAGGAATTTTTTTCATGGACAGACATCAGAACAGGCTGCGCGGGGAGGTGGAGGAGATGCCATCCCAGCAGGTATCTAAGAAACTTGCAGATACTGTGCTTAGGAATGTGGTATAACAGCAGATTTGCAGTGTTAGGTGGATGATTGGACCTGATGATCTTAAAGGCCTTTTCTAACCTAGATGATTCTATTGAGAACACCCTCACTGGTGATTCATGAATTTGTTACGTGGCAAAGACATCCCAAGAATTACAAAGGCAACAGATGCACAGCAATCAAGAGCTCTCCATAAAATTCAACAGAAGACTTGATTAAGAGTCTAATATAGCAGGAGACAACGAGTTTAAGGAGCAAATCACAGAATTGCAAAGACTGGAAGAGACCTCAAGATATCATGGAGTCCAAACCCCCATTAAAGCAGGTAAAGTAAATGTTCGCAACACAATATTCACTTCCAGGACCTGGGCTGCAGGACAAATCTGCTATCTTTGCAAAGACTGCCACAAATGAAAGACAGGCTCTTCTCATAGTGTGAGAAGAGAAATTCAGAATTCAAACATAGAAGTCACTTCAAAAACTCAAAAAAAAACCTCACAAAAAAAAAAATAAAAAGAAAAAATCAAAGCTTCCCGAACACACCTACAAGACTTACCTGGTCTTTTTTTTTTTTTTTTTTTTTTTTTTGATGCCTGCAGTAAACGTAAAGACTTGTTCTTTTCTCTAAACATTAGAAAATCTGTTCTCTGTTATAGTAGCAACAAGCCAGTTGTCTTATAAATACTTCAAGCAACAAATGGAGATATTAGGCTGCCTTCATAAACAAGTGTTAACCTATTCTCCTTTTTTTTAATAATAAATCTATCGTAGTTCCTATAATCCAGGTCAGGGAAAGCAAAAAGTTCTGGATAACTTCTTGAAACTGTCATTTTTAACCACGTCACAGAATCACAAAATGGTTGGATTAGGGTAAGGAAACTACCTTAAAGATCACCCAGTTCCAACCCCCCCCTGCTATGGCTGAGACACCTTCCCAGACCAGGTTGCCCAGGGCCCCATCCATGGCCTCAAGCACCTCCAGGGATGTGATAGCATCCACAGCTTCACTGGGTAGCATAGGCCAAGGCTTCACCAACCTCTGAGTAAAGAATTCCTTCCTGATATCTAAAGCTACCTCCTAACAGTTTGAAGCCATTACCCTGTGTCCTACCAGTACTCTCCCTGTCCCTTCCCAGTTCTCTTGTAGGCCCCCTTTCCCGATCCTATTCTTCATATCTCTTGCCCGTTAGTGCTCCTGTCTTCAACCCCATTAAACCTACACTATGTCCTTCTAAACTTGAGATGCATACAATTTAATATTTGCATTTCACTAACAAGAAACTATTGCTGCTGTTCAGCTCATAATGTTTCAGTTGCTTAGGCTTCTGAAGAAAGACCACAGTGATGCCCTTTTCCCTAGCAACTGGAGCCACAACTTCATAATCAAATGTGAAATCCAGAAGCATCGCTACACAGACTTAATGGGAGCTTGTAAAGCTAGAGGAGTCCATAATATATCAGCATAAAATCCATGCACCTTAAACTCTGATCTGAGGTCTGTTTTCAGCCTTAATCGACTGCAGACATAACGCATGCGATACAACACCCACACCCTATGCTTATCTTTATTTACCTCAGAAACTCACACAAAAAAAAAAAATTACTAATACAAAAGTACTGTGAAATAACTGTTGAACTACTTCTGACTCAGAGAAAACTGCTTACAGCTCCACAATTGTTTAGATTTTCTTAAGATTATAACATCCCTAAAACAGAATACAATGAAGAAGTATATGAAGAATAACCCTTACTTACAAAACAAGGCTGTATTTCTGGTTGGAGCAGCCACAAAACCCTCCCAGCTATGCCTTGACTAAGTACAAAAGGCTCAGAACTACTTCATTTTCATGCATTAGGTGACTGGAAGCTGCATCCAGCTGGCACCTCCTGCCTCTATCTGCTCTGCACACCAATGCGAGTAGGTATGAGAAGAGCGCTACACGACTAAAGCGAACCCAGCTCCACGCAAACCTCAGCCCTCACCTGATCAGGTCTCCATGAAGCTGCACGAAGAGGTTTTTCCTCTCTTCCCCATCACAGATCTCAGACGCTGGGGTATCCACCGTACAGAGGACCAAGCGCAGGTCAGACAAAGCAGCAGCAGAATCTCCTCCATAAACGTACACGCAGCCTCGTCCAACATCCTCTCTCAGCCAGTCCCTCTCACGGGAACCGAACCGGCTCCTGTTCGGACAGCTCCTGCTTCCGTTGCGCTTCGCGTTTCTCTGCAAAACGGCCAAAACCGGAGCGTCAGCGGCAGTCTCGTCAACGGCGCCCGCAGTCGGGCTGTGCGAAGGCCCCAGGAGCGGCGGGGCACGGGGGAGCGGAGCGGGGCACGGCGAGACCGCCGCTCCGCGCCACCGGGCGCCTCCTCGAGGCCATTCGCGACGAACGAGTCGGAGCTACCGCGCCCGGGGGGCACGGAGCCGGCACGGAAGGGTCCCAGCCAAGGTCGAGGCGGGCACTGCCCAGACGCGGCGCGCAGTTACTGCCGCGGCCGCCCCCCGCGCCGAGCTGCCGGGAAGGGCCGGCGCGGAGACGCGGCGCAGAACGGCCCCGCTCGGCCCAGGCGCCCTCCTCACCTTCAGCACCCGGACGACGCCGCGAGGCCCGGCCCGCCCGCCCCGCGCTCCGACCGCCGCCGCCTCATCCTCCTCGGCTTCCGGCGCCTCCTTGGGCCCCGGACCGGCTTCCCCCATGGCCGGCCGGACCGCGAAACCGCCGGCAGCGGCGGCTGCCGCCCCAGCTCCGCACGCGCCCCGCCCCGGAAGCGCGGGAACTTCCGTCGGCAGCGGCGCCGCAGCGGCAGCGCGAAGTCGCGGCGTGAAACCGAGGAGCTCCGCGAGCGGTTCGGCGAGTCGGTCCTGACGGCAGCACGGCCTGCGGGCACGAGGCCGCCAGAGCTTTTACCGACCTGCTGTCATCCGTGCAGCGCTTACGAGGAAGGCGGCTGTGTAAATTGGGATCACTTACCCTTCGAAGAAGGAAAACAGCTCTGTACTCCGAAGCCGCCCGTCCCAGAACTGCTTTCTCTTGCTTCTGCAGCGTCTCACCAGGAGCCGCCCGAGGCTGCAGCTGCACACGGCGGCTCTGAGCAGCGCTTCGTCCCGCTGGGCGTAGCGCCACCGCGCCGCTTCGCGAGCGCCTGAGACAGCAACCATCAACGGCAGCCTCGGTCACCTTCATGACCAAAGCCTCGCGCCCGCCCTCAGTCAGCAACGATTCTGGACTTCACACACACCGGCCTGCGGCCCCAGCACAGTTCTCACGCGCTAATTCCTGGCCTTGCTGCTTCCAAACTCTCACCGCCAGCATTCTTTCGTAGCTTAATCCTATTTCACGTTACCTTCAGAAGTCTCCCACCTTCCTCCTGGTTTATCTCAGACTGCAGCGCTCTCCATAGTCAGGACCCGTTCCAAGAAGGGACAAGGGGCTCAGCACCGCCCAGCACAGCAACGCGAGGTGCCTCCGTGCTCTGTCCTGCTCCACGACTTCTGCCTGCAGCCACACACCATCCGCTGACACACAGACAGACACGTTTCTGAATTGCCAAGGAGAGGACCTGGAGAGCTCTCCTATCTAATGAGGAGCTGACTGACGATCAGGCTTACTGTGAAGGTTCCGTGTGTTCCCAGCACGCACCTTCACTGTGCATGGAATTGTATTGGAAAACATACAGTATCTAAAGTTCCTGTGACTACCTTATAGCAGGCAACTATACTGCTTTAACAGATGAGATTGTAACAGTCCTTGTCTCAGTGGCACACAGCATACAAAAGAGACTTCTGAAGATCAGCAAGGGAACCATAACCAACTGCACCTGCAGCCAGCAGGGAAAAACATCTGTTCAGATCTCATCCTATCTGTGTAGCACCTGGACATGTACTGCTGGCAGCAGCCGACAAGCTGTCCCTCAGGGTGGTGTTTGACCTGACCTTTTTTAGGGTTTTTAAACTGCCTGCTCATTTTACTCTCCAAAATTTCCCAAAAGCTTTTCAAACTCTGCCCTTGATAATTTCATATCACTTCCTTTAGCACTGCCAACAAGAACTGATAAAGGCTGTTCCACTCTACTTGCAAAAAGCAACAAGGCGCAGTTTTAAATCATGGAATATTGACTCATTTTATTAGTCACTTCATAATTTGTTTCAACCAAAAGACAGTACACACAGAAGTCTAATGCATTCCATGTAAGTGTTTACATCGGTTATGTAGCTCCTCACTCACCTAAGACTTAGCATTTAAGTTTTTCACATCTCAAAAATAGATTTGCAGAAGTTAGAATGCCACCAGGCTCCCTGCTCAATGGGCATATTTTTATGTTTAATTTGGTCAGGAGTTGCTGCTCATTTGATCTTGTGGGTTTTTTTGTTTCTTTTCTGTTCACATTGTCAAGGAGGTGGGACGGTACTCTACCTAAGGGCAGTATTACAACGTAGGAAAAGGAACAAATAGGATCAGAGTAAAAGTCCAGAAGAAAGAAGCGCAGCAGGTCCTTCCACTACAGTCCCCAAACAGAAAACAAACATAGAAAGTACACAACCAGATCCACCCCCCAAAACCCACCCTAAAGGAAGGCCATCTTTGCTGCCCCATCTTGCAGCCAGTATCAGCGCTGTGGAAGGATGAAGGAAGTCACCTTTCCCAGCTGCTTCAGAGCCTATCCAACATACTGTATGGGTGGCAGTTCCCTCACTGCTATTGCTTCAAAATGCTGCTCAAGGCCACCTATCAAAAAAAGTGGACTAAATTTAAACCTTAGGATCTTCCCATGCCTCCTCTCCCTTCTGGATCACTACAGCCCACTTTGTCCTTTCCTCAAAATTTGCTTGGAAAATAAACAAACCAAAGGAGACAATTTCTCCAAGCTCCAGCCTGCAGAGCCCACATTATGAAGGTTAGCCACAAATTCTGTATCTTGCTCCTCTTATATCCTCTTTACACTGAAAGAAGAAAGCCATTGACCAGACCTAAATTGTTGCATTCCAATGGAATAAAGGCTCACCTCGTCCCCAGAGTGCTTTCTGAGGCATTAAGTGAGTATTCTCCAGCATGACAAAGCAGCAGCATGAAGGTTGAAAGTACCTAGGGAAAGAAGCAATAGTATCTAGCATCGCAAATAAGGAAAAATGTAACCTGGCCTTCTTTCTAGAGATAATGTTAGTACTCAATCTCTTAAGAAAGGAAGGTAGAGAGCTCCAAGGACAACAGGAACATTCAGCTGCAAAGTACTTTATGGCCAAGAGACGGTTTCAAGCTGAATGCCTTTCAGGTACACACACCATCTCCCTGAGCTTGACCCAGAAATACGACAGAGTATACTTTCCAAAACACAAAACACATATGTGTACAGGTGGCTGAAGGATCCAAGCATAGAGAAGGAATCTACCCTGAAAGCTTTCCAGAGACCAACAACAAAATCCACCTGCTCTATAGTACAAAAAACAAATGTAAGAGGGACAAGGTCAGTTGTTTCCAGCCACACTGCAATGAACTGGCCAGGTGAGGGACCATGTACTTCTTTCTCCCCATCTAATCCTCTGGCAACAGTGCTCTTCTCAGCAAAAAGGAATGGAAAGCTGGAGGTGCACCACCTTTCAATACCACACACAGTTCTGAGAAGAATGACACCTTAAGGGTTTTAAGGAACTAAGGCAAAAAACTTCCTGTTAGCTTGATACCTGGGACACCCTCAGAGCCCACTGGGGACTACATTCAAACACACTCACCACTATGGAGTTTGAGCCAGTTGTGTCAAGTAGTCACAGCTGCAGTAAAAAGCAACAAAAGTAAATGCTCAGCATCCAGAAAAGGGCTTTGATTCAGCTGTTTACTCCAAGACTGCCTGTATCATTATGGTTCCATCTGAGGCACTGCTAGCCCAACCAAGACACTGCAGTAACTCAGAATCAGCTTCAAAGAAGTCACACATCACTCTTGCTCGTTTTTAATAACTCTATAATGATGCCAGTCCCAACAGAATAATGAAACTCTTTGGTGAAGGCTCAACCCGGTCCTCTCAATAACGCAGCAAAAAAGCCTTCCAAGAGAAACTAAACTTATTCCACTGGACATATCAAAAATTAAAGTCAGTCCTACTTTATATCATCTACCATGGTTAAAACCAAAGCAGACAGAACAACCTCTAGTGACCTTCCTTGCTATGGAAAATACACTGTACACCATGCCTGCAATATTGCCAGCAATGATTGGAACTTAGTGTTAGTACTTTTGCAGACACAAAGGGCTGCCAGAGCACAAAATGATCACCACGTATTTACAGTCCTGCAACAGAAACAGAGCAGATGTGCCATTTGTTTCTTTTGAGAAAGCTTTGCAGCTGGGAGCTGGGGTACCTTCAATTCACCAGCACGCTAACGAATGAAGACTTAAGGCCTTTCCCTCTTTCTCTCTGAAGGGTGCTGAACACCTGAACAGTTTTGTCACTGTGCTTTATATATCCTATACATCACCTCCATGAAAATTCATGGAACTCTACTACCTCAACAACAGTTGACACTAGCAAGCACAACTGGATACAACTTTAAGCTCAGAAGAGTACCAAACCTAACATCTTTGGATTCAAATACTCCAATAATTGGCTTTTGTTCAAAAAACAGTTTAGTTCCACTCTCAGTCTGCACCTTAACGAACAGATTTTTCTACAAGGATGAATTAAGTAACAAAATGGGAGAAGGTCTCTTTAAACCGCATGGTCTTTATTTCAGTGCCAATGTTACAGATACAACACAAATATCCCAGTCAGAAGTAAATCAAATGGAACCCAGGGAGTCTACAACAGGCTCTGGAAATTAAACCGGGGAGAAAGTCTGGAATAACTAAGAACAACTCTGCAGCATAGTCTCCGGTGCATCTCCCAGCAGGCAACAGAGCTTTTGCTCAAAGACTCATCTACAAAATTGAATGTGTCTTTTCTTGCCATAAACCACAACTAAAGGCTTTGAAATCAACTGTGGTAGAAAACCAGCTGCTTCTTAGATCGCTACATCTCATACATCACCATACCTTCTGGGGAAGCTACAGAAGACTGAATCTCTATGGCTGCAGCCACTGATGGAAAGAAAGAAAATTCAAGTGTAAGGTCTTCATTTCCAAGTACAGCACCAACGCAATTTTAATCAGCCTCACCAGCACCTCTTTCCTGCACTGTCCCAGGTCTGCAGATGAAGTCCCAAGGCCTGACTTGCTCTTGGTAAGTATCACATAACTAAGAGGTGTGTGTATACAGTAATGCACTGAACAGGCCAAAAAAAGCCTCCAGTCCCTTTAGACATGGGGGATACAGTAAGAAAGAGGCAAGGTGACCTAAAATTCTCCAAGTTCCCATTCTGAGCCCCAGATGAAAGTGCCTGAAAATAATCCAGCTAGTAACAATTGAAAACACAACTTGACCATCCCAGGGGAAAAAAAAAAAAAAGACAGCAGAAAGAAGGGGCAGTTGTTCACTTGCTGCAGAGACAAAGTTTCCCTGCAAGAAATTCCAGACTTCTCTTCCAACACCAGGCTGTTTTTTCTTTGGGGGTAGAGAGGCAGGGAAGGGAGGGAATGTTGCTTCTGGCTGTGAATGCATGTGTGAGGGAGTGCAGAGTAGCCTCCACAAGCCACCAGCCTCATCAGCAGAGGAGAGGAGATTAGTCTCAACAGATATGCTTCAAAGTCAGCAATCACTTCAGGAAAATTCCTCCTCATCAGCAGGTCTCATCTGTTCCCCATGCCCATGGTGCAGTTTAGGGGACTGCCAAGGATCACAACCTTCTTCCCAGAGTTCTTTTGATTGGGTGGGGTGAGAATAAGAATAGTGCCAGAGCCTCACTGCCAAGACTGAGGGGGGAAGTTGTTGACTTCTGCTAGATCCTGCATTGCTGAGCCCTTGTGATTATATGTCAACTTGATCCGCATACGTAGTTGTTGCTACAAGAGAAAAGGAAACAAACACAAATTCAGGTCTTCAACAAAGGTCAGCATATTTTCCAGCTTCCTGTCCCACATCCCCTGAGAAAACACAACACAGACCCTTCCTCACCACAAAAGCTTGCAGGAATTATGTGCAGAGCAAGCTATGACAACGCAGATAAATGCTTAATCTAGTAGGATGCTGCTTGCCCACTGTACTTCTCAGGTCAAGTAAAAATTTTCTCAGAAAAACTATAGCACAGCTTCTATTCATCTTTCTCTGGGCACTGGCCCTGCTCTCATCAACACCGAGGTCCTTAGATATAACAGTAACTGTCTTGCAATCACAGTTAACCACGGAAGAAAGCAGGAGGCAGATCTGACTTTGCTACGCGGCACTTAGGCTTACAGAGAAAGGTATTATTTCCTGTGCAGCTGACTCAGAAAAGCAGCAGTCTGGAAACTTGCATATATCAGTAGCACTGGACAAAATAGCCCAAGAAAGACTAGAGATATCATCTCTAACAGTACTTCCTCCTTCTGTGGCTAAATGGCAGAACAGCTCAGACTGCCTTGCACTGTTGCTTGGCTGCCACCCAGACACTAGGATGATCTTAATAATAGCCAGAGCACAGCATGCTTCACATTTTCTGTTCTCTTCACTGCTGCCCCCTTTTCGCCCCCTCCAAAGTCTACAGCAAAATGTGTAGAAAGGGTAATGAAAGAGAGGAAAGGAGGACAGACAGCTCCAACCAGCCTCTCACTAAAGAAGTTGTATTTGGTACTGTTCTGGGTAACCAGCCATTGTACAGAGTGCACTGGCCACTGTCAGAGTATAACCTTGTTCACCTACTCTGAAGAGTTACACTCTAAGATCTCTCAGTCTGCTCACCATAACTCTCCCCATTTAGTTTCAATCCAGCGAGACAACAGACCTCAACCACATGAACAGTTTTTACAACACTGAAAAAACACAGAGCTACCTCCTAAACAATAAAGTTGAGGTTGTTTCCTTCAGAATATTTGAGGTAACTTCAACTACCTCATGCATGGGACCCTCGCAAAGCTGAATCTGAGGTCAACAGCAATCTAAAGGACACTAAGCACTAAACACATGAAGAGACATAAAACAGTGGGAAACAGCAGAGGGCAGCAAAATACTAAGAGCTTGCAGCTCTTAATTCTCAAGGATTCACAGGAGATGGAAGTCCCAACAAGGATGCACATTTCAGCTTATGAGGCCCATATGAGAAGGATACATTCCAACTTCCTGCACTCCACAGGAAAGCTTCTAAATCCCTTATGTTTATAACTTTTAGAACCCACATGGAAATTTATATCAGATTTGTATGAGACAGAGTAATTACCCGCATGTCTTATAGAGCCTGAGAGGAGTACATTGTATAGAGACAAGGGGAGATCAGGGCAACTGTGCACAGGAAGACAGTTATTTTGATGAAATCTTTGGCTAAGACTTAAGAATTTCATTTTTTAAACTTGCACACCAGTCTACTTAATGTCCAGAACAGTGAGTGATAAAGAAATAAACACATCAGAAAAATGTCAATACTGTCCCAAAAATTGATAAAATTATTTGCACTTTTCTATCTGATTCCACCTCACTGTTAAACCTCTTAAGGAGGACATGTGGGCCATATCCCTCTCTCCTCTCAAGTTTATTTTTATCCTCAGTCTCAGAAACTTACCTATGAAAGCTATAAAACAAACAGAATTATGATAAATAACAGCAAAATACTCTTCCCCTCAACTATTTGTAAATACACTCACAACATATTAAACAACATCACTTAAGAAAATGGACAATCTGGTTAAGATTATGGATTAAGCTATTTTTTATCAACTTTCAAGAAATGCCCCCTGCAGACAGCAAGAAGTAACTTCAAATATATTGAAATCCAAAAAGCAAGCATCTTTCCATTTCACTCCTACACCAAAAAACACCAGGTTCTGCTCCTCTAGAAAGATCTAGAAACTTGTTTAACAACTATACTGATGCAACAAATATCCACAAAGTCAAGGCTTTTTTAGAGTCTGCTTAGGAAGTACAAACAAACAGAAAGCCAAATCTTTGCCCAGAACCTCCTGTCTTTTACAAATTTTTCTTCAGAATATTTTCATAGCCCTAAACAAAAACCTTCTCACTACAACACATAATTTCCCAATGCACAACTTCCAGGCAGTTCTCAGGATCACTCACCTTTTGTGGATTCAGGACTTTAATGACCTGTGTAATGGTCCCCGAGTTAAATGCAGGGATGACACTGCTGCTAGGAGACAGAAGCTGCAGCTGGAATGTCTGAAGAACAAAACGAAAGCGAGTAGGTGCTTAATCAAGTACAAATATAAACTAATTGATTTGTTTGCACTAAAAAAAAGTCCTGCCAGTACACAGACACAAGGAGGCAACAAGTTTTTCAGTTCATGATCTGCAAAGAACAAAATATTTGCTGGCCCACCATCTTTCCACACAGAGAACCAGAAGGCACAAGTATGAGAGATGAGGGCTTACTGCGGTCTATCAAAATTAGCAGTGATGCACTGTTTCAATTTTGACTCTCAGGTGGAACAGCCAACACTGCTCAGCACATCTCTAACTTCAGGAGGCCCATTCTCTCCCTCATTCCTTCCTGTGGCAGGTAGGAAAATTCCAAACTAAAGGAAGAGCATTAGTAAATTCCAGAAGTGAAACTCTGGAAAGTGAATATTTCCCAAATTTCAACGCTTCAATCAAGTCCTGCTCCACTACAAACTAGTAGTCCCCACCTTCATGTTTCGAGCTGCAGCTAACTCCAACAGGAGACAACTAAATGCTTTAAGGAGAATAGTTAATGATCGCTGTGTGGGAGCTCACTTAAGTTTTACAAGCAGCTAATAGTTCCAAAGGGTTTTCTTTTTTCCATGTATTTATAGCTACAAAGAGTACAGTACATTTCTTAGAAACTAAGAACAAAGAGAAAGGTTTGTTGTGCTTGTTGGTGTGGTGGTGGTTTTTTTTTTTTAACCAACATTTTCCTGGGCATAGTTTAGCAACCTTCTAAAATGGTGATTTTAAAATAAGATTTGATCAGCGCAGATCATTTTAGCCTATCCTCCATTCCATTTATGACTAAACTGAGCATGATGAGAACCTGTTAACAGCTCACCCATGCTGCATGTGTCTGTCTACATTAAAGCACCAATCAGGAAGTACTTGCAGCTGGCCCTCTACCTGTCACTGTAGTTGCCCTAAGTTGTTCTACCTTTGGTACCGCAGCTTGGAAAACAAAATCTGTCATATCCAGCTCTGTGCTGTTGGAGGCTTGTATTGTGATTACAGTGACACTGGGGTTGGTGTTTGACCTCTCAAAACTGAAGTCAATCTTCAGCCCGTTCTTGTTGTAAGCAGTAATTGAAGGGATTCCTGTAGAAAGCAAAAAAGTAGCAGACTTGAGAATCTAGACATCGTTCTCAGCATCACAGAACTCATTTCCTTTACCCCAGAACACAAATTCTTCTGTAGATTAAACAACCTCCCCTCCTGCTCCAATGTGTGTGTCACACTTCACAATGAAATCTCCTTTCCGTTACTACCCCTTGTTTCCTCTTCTGCTGTGGCACCTTCAGCTAAGGTTTCAGATGTCCCTAACCTGCAGCAATATCATTGAAGAGAGGCTGTGATGACAGTCCATCAAGCAGGAATGGAGGCTGTGATATCTGGGGTGCAGGGGCAGATACTGGGGAACCTACAAGAAACGTTGGATAATTATTAGATTTTGCTGTCACAGAATGAAGGGTAATTACTCCTCCAACTCAACTGCTCAAATATCAATACATACTATTTCTATATATGAAGCTCTACACATAGCTATTTATGTTACGCCTCTTCTCAGCTTTTATTCAACAAGGTCTGGCTCCTCTTGAGCTAGCAGGCATTCAAACACAGTAATTTCTTGTATCTTATTCTCTCCGGAAATGCTGTGTTCCCAGCATGGAATGGGAAAATACTTAAGTCCCACTGTCTAAACATTGTCAATCTCTGATGCCATCCCCTGATGTCCACCTGTGTGCTAATACAGAGCCTGACAAGAACAGTCATGAAGACAGGGACTTAATAGTGATGAACAAGCCAGCCCTCTCATCTTCAGCGCTCAACCTGACCCATCCCAGGAATGAGGTTACGTAGACTTTCAAGAGATGAAGCCTACTCACCTGTTAGGTTGAGGTCTCCCAGTAGGTCAAGGAGCTCCCCACCAGCAGAGGCTGGCTTGCTTGTAGGTGCAGTGGGGATTACAGGTGTTATATCATTCCCCCCCAGCAAGTCCAACAAATCATTTGCCTAATGAGAAAATAAAAGTTACATATTCATATTTCTGCTGATTCCCCCTTATATACAGGATGAATTTCACTTGCCCTCAGATTAAAGGCCAGAGCTGCTGACTAATTAGAAAGGTTCTTAGTTTGGCTATGGTTCCAAGAGATCAAGCCACCGCTTTCTTGGAACCACAGTGATAAGAGTGGGATGGAGCCTGAAGATACAAACAGGCTGGGGAACACATGGATTTATCCCATCATGCTCTTACATTCCCTACAATAACCTCTTCCACACATCTGTCCTTGGCACTAGAACCATCAGAGCAGAAATGTGACACAATTGATCACCAGGCCACAACTTACAACAAGGCAGGGACAGGAAGGAAGGCTGCCTCAGTTTACTGTTGAAAAGTCAGTGGCTAGCACTCTGAGCTGACAGGCAATGGAAACTTATGCTAGATTAGTTTCCATTACCTGGCTACCAGGCTGCAATCCAGAGTGTGGAGGTTTGGTTTCCAGTACCGCTGTTTCTGTCTCTCCATTGGTCTGTACAATCTCTGTAGGGCCATTGGTGGTGACTTTCTCCATTACAGGCATTCTCTCAAGCAGGGCTGGCCTGAAAGAAGCTGACATAGTTATACTGTGCCATCTTCTTGGATCCCAATCCAAGCATTCAAAACATTCAAGAGAAGATATACACAGCGCAACCTGCCTCTTCCTTTCAGCTCCATTGCAGGGGCACTGTAAGACTATATGACAGCTGCAGGTGGTCAAAAATGATCCCTGACATATTGTGCCAGTGTATATATATTAAATATCAGCTGACAGTCAAACAATACACCCTTATTTTCTTCTAGTACTGGACAGTTTTCACAGTGAAGCTAGGATAACAAAGCAGATTAAATGACCGAGCAAACGTGGATTAACTGCAGATGCAGGACATCTGACTGCTCTGCTCCATACTCAGTTGGATCAGAAGGTCAGCTGATTGGCTGAAACAGGTAACAAAGTTGGAAAAACAAACCACCATGCTCTCATAAGTCAAATTTAAGTTTCCAGAAAGCGTAAGCTTGGTCCTCAAGAGCACCCTCCTGAAAGCATCCAGAAACTGAAGGAGAAGAGGCACAGGACACAGAATCCTGACTTCAACACAACAAAGAAAAAGTCATACAGAGAACACCAGTGTATAATGCAAGAAAAGCCATTACCCGCAAGGACCAGGCCTCAAAGCACTGCATGTAATGTGAATAAGTTACACTGTCAACATCTTTCAGGCTGAATGAGATTTGCAGTGACAATAACCCCAACAATGGGCTTTCGGACTCTGTGATAGAATTACCTCAAGTTCAGAGCATAGCTTTGGAAAAAAAAGGTCAGTGGATCTCTGCACATTTATTCCAAAAGTGTTATAAGATCAGCTTGAACCTAACAACTGGTAAGGTTAGCACGGCAAAAGCTACCTGCAGGCACTTGCTCAGCTAGCACATTTAAGATTCAACACACCTAAATCACAGAATTGCTCATGTTGGGAAAGATCATCAAGTCCTACCACAAAGTGAAACAGCCAACTTCAAGCTCAAAATGCGAAAAGCGTTTTGTAAGGGCAAGCCTGTGATCTCAGAACACTTCTCACAGGATATACTAAGTTCTTAAAACACTTCATAATAGATCAGGAAGGGATTGCAGTTCTTGTGTAATTTTACCAGAATATCCAGATTAAGCTCTCTGTATGTACTACGTAGGAGATCAGGGTAGGTTATCAGCCTTTTCGAACACCAAAACTCATCAGTACTTACCTCATGTGATCGTATTTCTTGAATAGTGCATTATATTCCACTGCCCTCTGTTGTAGCTCCACATCAATGCTACTGCCGTAAATGGAAACTACCTTCTTAATGCGACTGGGGGGAAAATGAAAGGACAAAAAGAGAAAGAGCACATTGGGATTAGGAGCAAAGAGCAAGAAATTAGCACGCGTCATCCAGAAGACACTGACCTACGATGAAGAGGCACGCTGTGTAACTGATTTGAAATGGTAGTCACTGCTGCTTTCCTCGATTATCTGTGCAACATCACTTTTTCAACTGCTCCTGTTTCTCCTCAGCAGTCAGCAGGTGATCAATATATCACCACAAGTTATACCACACCAAAGCTCAATGACCCACAATCAAGCCATAAAACAAAATAAGGCTATTTTTCTTCCCAACAAAACAAATAAAAACGGAAGGAATCCACTGAAAGTAAGGGTTTTCCCTCCCATTAATAAGTTTTCAAGCAAGGACATCATGACATAAATTGCCCACACAGCAGAGGACATCCAAAAACAGTATGAACTGGTGGAAGTCTTTCAGCCTGCAAGCAACGAACTGTAAAAGCCAATAAGATGACTTGACAACAGAAACAAAATATGTCCACAGAGTAGTTCTACTGAGGCAAACTGATGCCAGCATATTTGTAACAAAATCCTACGCAGAACATCAAGGAGAACTCACTTGACAGTGCAGGTGAACCTTGTGGAAAGCTTCATGATGGCAGTAAGAGCGTAGCCCCGTGTAACAGATGCAGACATATTAGATATCAGAACGCTTTCTAAAATATCAAGAACTTCATCCTCTGTTACCTGAAAAGGTACAGAAAGGTTAGGCTTAGAGAGAAGCTCTGCAGCAAGCCTTCCATGGTATACTGTAAAAAAACCTATCTTGCTTAATGGGCGCTTCCTACCTCCCCAGTAACTGTGAACATGCAGCACATATGCAGTATATGAAACAGATACAGATGGGTGTCTTGCGATATTTTACTTTAAAATAAAGCTCCTGCTCCACATATTTAAAAAAAAAGGTTATCAAAATATAGAGTTAAAACCCCAGTTGACACTGTGCAAGCTGGCTTAGAACCAAAAATCACATTACTCTGACTAGCATAGCTGCATTCTTCAGAGACAAAGCTGGATATATTTATGTAGTCCATGCCAGTAGCATGGACTCACATAGGAGCTCACATTCCCAGGTCCACCTCTATCACAGAGGCCACTAACTGTTGCAAGCAATCTGCTCACATAGCCATCAAACAGATCCAGCCTCAGCCAAGTATACACTTGCACCTTCTCAGGCTGTACCTGTATTGGCTCCTCTTCTTCACACTGACCAGACACCAGAAGATCTCCATACTCCCCTATGCACCAGGAGGCCACTTGAACCAGTGGCTGCTGTTGGAAGAATCAATAAACAAAAATCAGACACCTCAGAGATAAATGCATTCCTGTACAAAAGCCATAAACCACTATTTTCCAGAGCCAGCGTACTCAAATTCTCTATAGCAAAAGAAACAGAGGTATTTCATTTGATCAAGAATTCCTTAAGAGAAAATTAAAAGAACAAGTCCATAAAGAATACATGTTCACACTGCAATCTGTCACTGGAACTAGATAGCATGATACTGACTTACCTTGATATGTTTAGCAAATATGTTTATTACAGTGTAGTAAGGAAACTTATATTAGGTATTACCTGAGAGTAATCACCAAGGATGGCTTTGTAGAGTCTCTGCACAGTGTAGGCATGCATCTCTACACTGTTAGTTATCAGCTGGATCAGGTTGGGAACAGCATCATCACGAACATAACTTCCTGCCTGCAAGAACATTTATGTATTTGAGAAAAAACCCAAACTGTTAGGTTTCATTATACAACTTCTCAGTAACACCTGACAACTGCTGACATCCTTCAAAGCCACATGATTCATACAGGTTTAAAAGGATAAAAAAAAAAAAAAAAAAAAACAAAAAAAATCAACCTTATCATCCTCAAGTACTTTGTGACTGACTGAGCAAACTCAGATTTGCTGAAGTACAAAACAGCACATTCTCCCAAAGCACTCAGCTATATCCACAGAAAGTCACACTGTAGATAAAAAGAGGATAGGATATACACATAAAAACAGTTTTCTATTTCTATGCCACGTAAGAATGAGAACACTATAGGAAAAGTGATCTGTTAAATGGAAGACTAAGACAAACTCTGAGGGTACAGAGCAGCTTTTTCATCACTTCTTCAAAACTAGGCTCTATGCCACATCCGCACAGAAATTAGCACTAGCACTAAAGGAAAGATGTACGCTGCTCAACATTTTGTTTTGTTTGGATGCTCCCTCCAGCACTGAAAACATAACCACTCAAAAGAGAAATTAAATGAGCCCAACTAAGTCAATTAAGTGAAAATTCAGCAAGCCAAAACCAGGAGCTGACGCCATATAATTCTCCTAAGTCTGGTAAACTGGATCGGCTACTTACCTGTAAGAGTCTGCAACAGGCAGCCTTGTGAATGTAACTTTATAAATGGTTCTCCCTAGCAGTCGAAGGAATGAAGTTAACTTTAATAAAAGTGAGTCATATGAGAGCAACTCTCAAGGCTTACCAACTTCATATAGAAATCAATTCTATGTTCAGAGGAATGCAGGTTTCTCAGTTTCAAGTGCCACGACAGCACAGAAAACAAGACTCACTTTTTAACTTTGCAAATGTAAACACTCATCCAAATAATGTACATCTCCTCCCATTGCCCTGCATCAGAGAACACACTGCCTACCCAAGTAACTAAGCCTTCTCTCATTTGCTGAAACGCTACTCCAGTTCCAACCTCAACTGTGATGTCTGCAAAGAAATTCAGGTAGTAAAAAAGTAACAGTCAGGTAGTAAAAAAAAAACAATCAGAAAGCTGCTGTACAGCTGTTACAACGTCACACACAAAAGAGCCAATTTTACTTACCGTTGTTAAGACTCTCATGATCGTGTCTATGTGCCAGCGTTTGGAAGGAGCGTATCTGACAAAAATAAGAAAAGATTTAGAACAAGAACTACTAGCCTCAACACCAGCAAAAAACCCAACAAAGCCAACAGAACCTCCTCCTGGCCCACCTTTTCCTAGAATAAAAAAAAACTTAATCTTTGACCTTTTGTTATTAACATTGACAGTGAAATGCTGAATGAATATACAAGCACAGCCATACACCTTACACGTACTTAAAAATCAGGCTGTTAATTGTAATGACTCAACTTTAATGAGATCATCTCATTTGCATGCGTAATCAGGGAGAACACAAGCGGGCATGTGGAATGGGCAAGGGACCAAGGTATCAACACAAAACCTGTTCCAAAGAACAGCAAAAATCAATAAACTAGATGGGCTTAACGATATGAGGACTGCCTACAAGGGAACATTAGTGCGCCACAACGCACTGGTGTTTCCTGTCCCTCAGCAGGGGTAAAACAATAACCTCAAAATTAACCCATTCTCCCTTAGGTGTTCAGGAAGGGAGGGGGGCAGACAAGGCAGAAATGCTCACAATTTTGATAACTGAAAAAAAGTAAATCGGCAAATTGATTCCATACTTCTCTGCTGCAAGAAATATTCCTGATGCACAGTCTGCCTTGAACTCCGGCTCACACGAATCTAGGAAATACAGCAACTCCTTCATCATTCCACGAACATTGTTCCCATTAACAAGAGCAAAGCTCAGTTCCATCGCACGCCTAGAGTAATGGACAGAAAACAAAGTATATTCTCCTGGTGAAGTAAAATAAATTTGAAGTAAAATAAACAAGTCCAGTTACACTCAAATACACTTACCTTCGGGTTAAAAGAGCGATTTTATTATGGAAGGCTCTTCCCACAGGATTAATGGCATTTTCTTGTTCAGGACAAGAAGCAGCCACCCCAGAAACCATAAACTAGAGTGCAGCTGGGCGAAAGTCCTTAGATACCCTAAGGCTAGAAATATCTTTCAACAACCAGAGTCCGTCAGTGTTAAGGTCCCAGTATTTACAGTTACACGTTGGTCATGTCTGACACAACTACTCTAAGAAACTTGTACCAGCTACAAGAAGATTTCTTCAGTTTCAGAATTCTTTAAATCCATTTTGTTCTCCATGCATTAAAGTTCTGAACACATCAGAGTTGATAAGCTTTATTATGTCCTGGCAGATGGGCTATGTATCGTTTCCGGAACTCAGGATGGTAATGCCCTTTCCAGATTTCAATTCCTTCCCTGTCACAAGTTGACATCACAATTAGACAAAGTCTTAGCTATCTGACATTACTTTTTGTATATAAACAAAGATCAGAGGCCAGTCCTTGTTCCTCCTATTTGAAGCTTCTGCAGTTGATTGTAGCACAACTCTCCCATCCATTCCACGTTTCCTGAATGAAAACTACTGTCTACAAATACTACACTACAAAAACTACAAATATTATTTATTCCTGGGCAACCATAACAATTTGCTATGTTAAAATGCATTAAAGCAGCCTCACTAAACAACCTGACTATTGTTTACAATTGAGTAGTCGGTGTAATCCAGAATACAAACTCATCAAATATGGAAGGGAGGGAACAACTTTATCAGGAACTTCATTCTCTGCCCATCACTGAGATAGGCTAATAGAATAAGATCCCTGAAGAGCATCAAAAACTTCCAGCCATATATTGCTCACATTCAATCATATTACAGGCCTCACTTCTGTTACAAAGTTCCTAATAATGCAATTTGATCATATTAAGCTGACAGGTAGCCTTGAAGTAAATGGCAAAGCTATTCTGAATTACACTATGCTGACCAAAGTTGCACTTCAATGTTTAAGATGACAAAAACAGGCCATACTTCACATGTCAACCATAACCAGGTATGTCTATCTCTCAAGTTCCAGACTGCAAAACTTGCTGTTTGGGGACTCCGATATCCAGTCAGTACATCGCTTCAATGAGAACAGTGCATTGTCAGCAGCACGAGTGTCAGCACAGCAACATCGAGCTCTGCCGATGGATCACTCAAAGGCTTCATCCTCCAACAGCACTCAGACATGAAGCTCTGTTGTTTGCAGCAAGTTTTTCTCAACAGGCATCAGCAAAATGCTTTTGCGGCCTTCCATCCAAAGCCCAGATATGCCTTTGCTGTTCCATAGCCTAACCTCACACTGACTCTGGCACTGAACTATGACAGCCTGACTTGAACATGTAAGATAAAAATTTACCTTTTAGGATAGCATAACATTGTAAAATGGAATTACATTACACCCATTTCATAGCTGTTAGAACTAACCTTCAGAAGAAAGACAGTTTCAAATTGTTTCCTACTCTACATGTTAGAGTATGTAGTACTGTTGAAAAACCTAGATCTGATTCAGAGACAAATCTGAAGAATGCCTTCTAGCACAAATACTTGCAGCATATCTGATTGATTAGACAAGGTCAGTATAAGAGGATAAGCAATTCTAAAATAAATAAAATGTGTTCATGATGTAACAAGTTGAATGAAATCCCGGCATGCAGTGGTTCCACGTAGTGCAAAAGGGACGCAGCAGCCCCTATCACTGACACGCTTGTTTTCTGTTGCACTGGGGTCACCCAGTTACAGAATGAATACTGATAAGGAAGAGGGTATTGAATCAAACATGAGTCTGAAAGACTTGATTTAGACAGTTAAGTGTAGTACTTCACACAGGCCACTAGAATTGTGATCAACTGATTCAATACTATGAGTAACTGATGGAAACAAGATGCTATGATGAGTGAAAAGAACACAACTGAAGTGATTAAAAGTAATCAGAGGAAGAACTTTATACTGAGGTTTTTTGTTTGTTTGTTTGTGGTTTTTTTTTTTGTTTGTTATTTTGTTTTGTTTTTTTTTTAAAGAAAGTCTTCCTATAGAAAGATGAATAATGCTGCAAGCTCTCCTATTGTCCAGAGAAGGAATGCAAAACAGGACACAGTTTATAAGCAAATCATCCGAACAATCTAATAAAATTAAATTCTACCACTGTCTAAATGTAATCTAGAATCATTTATTGGAGATTTTAACATTGCTTCAGGATAACGTGACAATACCTGTTTGTCTGGGAAAGAAAAGTAAGACCAAGCATGTTGGAGTAGTTTTGATTAGGACCTTAATTTATGAAGGCTGATACTTCTGAGCACACCAGCTCATTTCTGGGTGACTCCGTTTTGGAAATGTTCAGGCAAACGGAAAAATTCTTTCCCCATCAATCCAAGAGGCAGAAAATGTAAAAGCAGCTTCTCAAAGAAAGTGGCTGCATGCTTTCATTACCTTTATTACCTTACATGAAGTAGAAATCAAATGCTGCATTAATGCTAGTCTCATTTTCAGCTCTCCAGTACTCCTGTCATTTTCCCATATGTTCTTGTCCTGCTCACTCTTCATAGGCTGTCTCTTTCACTGATATTTCAGTTACCTTTTAATGGAGACATCCAAATCTTTCAGGCAGTCCACAATTGTGCTTCTATGTCTCTGTACTGCATTATGGTCTGTCTGCACAGTTTTCAACAGTGATGTCAAAGCCACATATCTGGGATAAGAATATATAAGAAAATACTTAAAGGTAAGCACTCGACTTCTTTGCACAAATACACCTACCCACATTTAATCTTCTTTTGCAACAAAATAGAGCTCTCTTGTACTCCTCAGCAACAAGTGAGGATCTTCCACGAGGCTACCTGGCCTAGCTCCAGTAGGGTTACCATACAAAAGAGTAACACATTTAATGATATCCTGCTGCTCAGACAAGCACCCACCTGAGTTCCTGGGCTCATGCCAGGTGTCTGCAGAATCACAGGAGTTGGAAGGGCCTCGTGGAGACCGAGTCCAACATCCCCTCCCCCCCCACTAGAGAAGTTTTGTTACAGTAGGTTGTACAAGAAAGCATCCAGGTAGATTTGAATATCTGCAGAGAAGGAGATTCCACCACTTCTCCAGGCAGCTTGCCCCAGTGCCCTGTCATCCAAAAGGAAAGTTTTTTCTCCTGTCCTGTCTTCATTTTGAAAAATCAAGGCAAAGTTTAGGCCTCCATATATCACACACAAACTACTAAGCGAGTTAAAACTCCCAAAGTTAGAGCCTTCCACCCATATGATGATCTGTAATACTAATGCCTACAGATGTGACTTAATTCTGGCAGTTGCAGCAATTCTACGTTCAGATTAAAGAAGTAATGGTTGTGCATTAATTTCTTTGATGACAGCAATACGCAGACAGAAAAAAAACAAAACAACTCCTTGTCTAATTTGTAAAGTCACCACTGTGCACTCTGATTTGAATGTCATCACTGACCAGATGAAACAAGACAGAATATACACAGAAAACTGAAAAAAGAAAAAAAAAAAAACAAAACCAACCACTCACCCAGATTAAGAAATCACATTAAGAATTAACTTTGCACTCCTAGATTTGACTACCATGAAGGGCAGAGCCATAGTTAAGGTTTTGACAGAGAGAGCGCCAAGAAAAGAAGAAAGCCTGTCACGTTCACCCCACTAACAACAATTCCCAGAACACTCTCCTGGAAAGTTCTACTTAGTACAGTCTTAGTGTCATTGCTGCTTAGACATTTTAAGCTGGGCGTAGATGGAGCACAGTTCATGCAACTTACCTAATATTTTTGTCATTGTTTAATAAGAAACGGCCTAGGATGTTAATGGCTAACACCTGCAGAAAAAGTTACAAAAGGTCAGTGACCAAGAAGTCCTCCATCATTGCTTTAAGGTGACTTTAAAGGCAATGTTACTACTGTGCTTTTTGGCCAAAAGCATAACAAAGAACTCTGGAGCCTGACTAAGCAAAGGAAAAACTAAGACAAACATGGTACAGGCTCTCTCCTGTACTCAAGAACAAACAGTCTTCAGGAAGGTTTTGCCCCTCCCCCAGCCTCTCCTTCCCCTTTTTCTCTCTCATTTTCTTTTTTCTCTTTTTTACCCTTTTCTCCCCCACCTCCACCCCGTAACACTATAATGCGATGGAAAGCACAGCAGTAACACCAGGGTAGCAAAGTTCTAGGCTGCAGCAAGTGAGGACAAGCCTAAATTAAATAGTCAGACACAGAAACAATGGAAGAAAAAGCTGCTTACTCTTGGAAGGCCTCAGGTAGGCAGGAACCTTCAGTGAGACACCCTCACCACCACTGCTGACCCTTTAATGAGGACTGGGAAGGGGCTCCAGCCCTTCTGACCATTCAGGTACACTGCATGCACCTGAGCTCCCCTGGGCTGGCCCTGCCTTCCCACCAGGTGCTCAATCACTGCTTCAGGCCAGGACACAGCATTTCTGCTACACCCCTTACGTACACCTTCCAAAGAGGCTACAAGTCTTATCTAGAAGCAACCACAGAGCTTTTTTGCCTCACGTGTCTTCTACAGAAACTGCTCTCACACAAAAAAAGTCACAGCAAAGACAACTTACTCTCAGTCCACTCTCAGATTTTATGTCCATAATAGTCAGCACAGTTTCATAGAGAATGGCATTTCCCACATTTTTACTTGTTTCTGTATTAGTAGCGACCTAGAGGAAAGAAACAAAGTGACTCCATTACCTCTAAAGTGGATCCCCTTTGTGCTGTTCTGCAGAAGAAGCAATGAAACTCAGCAATCCTTAGTGTACCACATCTATAAATACACGCCCCAAGCAACAAAACTCACCCCAGCGTGGCAAGCAGCCACACTGCATATCTTCATCAGTGCTGAATCCAAATAATTAACAAATGAAAAGAGAAAATGTAAGCTGATTAACTTTGCAGGTCTCACCTGTGCAAGTATGTCATTCATTGCTTCACTAGAATCATCATCATTTCGCCCTAGAATCCTTAGTAACCGCAGGATTCGCACCTATCACAGAAATAGAAAAACCTCACTCAATGGAAATCTTTTACAGAAGGGCCATGAAATTCACTGCTTGAGCAGCAACAAAGAAGAAAACAAAAGACTAATTTTCTATTTCAAAGCATAATGCAGATTTGGTTCTATTCTCAGGCGAACACTGTGCTCTTCCTCTCTTCATAGGCCAAACTTGTTACCAGTACATCGAGTGTCAAACCAGGCACATTCCTGCAAGACCAACATTCACCGTTTCTTCTCGTTTTGCCACAACTCAGCACAGTACCATAGGGCACGGCAACTTCTTTTTAAACCAGGTGGCTTTCACTAAGGTAGATGAATAGCATTTACCCAGCCTACTCTAACACAATCTTCAAATCAACACTGCTGCCTTATGGTAACTATCTTGTCATACTTATGTCTCATAACACAGTGCACAAATTAAAACTATCAACGACGACTAGCATCATTTCTTACCTGCAAAAAGGGGTCACTGATCCCAGACACATCATGCTCTGGTGAATATCCAGACATGATAAGGTTCTTCAGAATACGAACTAGTTGGGGAACAAGCTGTGAAGAAGAGAGTTATCAGAAAATGTACCTATTAGCTTGTTGTTCCTTCTGCCCAAGTACAGGTCCAAAAGCAAATCTCGCATTTGAAAGCAAGTTGTCCTACAGATTCCTCCTTGAAGTTCAGCCTGATCATCTAGAGACTATTATACAAATATCTACAGCTTACATGTTTCTAGTCAGTTCCTATCTAAGCTGGAGTCTGAGCACCATATTCCATCTTCAAAGTACTAAATACACCACAACTTGATAAGCAATACCTAAAAGGAAATATCAATTTAAAAAAAAACCTCCCATCTTCATGAAAAAGGAGGCTAGGACTGTTGAAGTAGCATTCTTCCAAAACTTTGTTTGGGAGCTTTACCAGGTTAGCTCCAAGTTGATTTTCAGCATACATTCCCATGTAGTATATATCACCTGCTTTCACAGAGCATCAGGCATAAGAGATTTAATCTTTTCAGGTACTTATAGGATTACAACAAGTTATTAAAGGTTCCTTTAAGATTGATACTCCATTCACATCAGCCTCTCAAGAGAAAAGCTTTGTAATCTGCAACACATTCCCCCACAAGAGAGTAACATGCAAGTGTACTGATCTGCAAAAATGTTCCTGGAGCCCTGATTAACATTTGCTTTGCCTTCTAACATGCAAGAATATTATCAGGACTCAGGACAAGGCAAACAAAGGAAAACATTACAGCCATGGAGATTGGTTGAGGGCCCCTTACCAATCTTCTGTACTCAAATTTCACTGACAAAAAACACCAGCAATGGAATTGCACCCAGTAGTTCTTTGGCAGTGTCGTAAGAACACATACAGGTGGCCATACAATTCTCCTGCTTCCTTCCATGTAAAGGAATTACTCACAGCTGCCCTACATTTAAGGCAAGGCACAAAGCCACCAGTGGTAAAGAGCAGTCATAGCTACAGTGTGCATATACAGAAAAAAAATCCTTCAAAATCCCAAGATGAGGGCTTGAGCAAAGAAAGTTTGTGTTTTGAGAAGGCCACAACAGAGATCCAGGGCTGATATGGGTAAAGCAGCTTATTGATAAGACCAGCACACAAAAAGCACTGAACAAGACAAGTGATCTAAGCACACGGCATTAATCACAAACATGGCATTATCTGGTACTGCATCACGAGAGGCAAAAATCACAGACTCAGTGTAAGCATGCACCATGTACAAGAATTAAACCTTACCTTTTCGTTCTAACACAGAGCAGGATTCCAAACAGACAAAAGAGACAAAACAGATGAAGCAGGCATTAGGGACAGATCAATGTTATATCATTCATAGCATAAACAACCAAAGACACTGCTAGAAAAGCAAGTACCTAGTACTTACATTTTGCAGAGGCAGTTTTTGTTTTTTAAACCAGTAAGACTATCACCTATAAGAGAGCAATGGCTCACTCCCACGTGTCCCTAGTCTTTCTTTCATTTTCATTCCTGCTTTGCTGTACACAACCAGGGCAAGAGATGTATGTTGAAGTGGTAAAATGCATCAAGAGGACAAACTGTTTGAAATCCCTAGTGATATACACAAGTCAGTGAAGAACAGTAAACTGGGCATGAAAATAGACAAACCTCTTTGAAACACATGAGAGGAGCAAATGGCCAGTTCTGTTGATCAGCTTTGATCAATTTCTCCCTTGACCAAAAAATCAGATTAATTAAAAAAATAAACAACGATGTTTTCACAGTCTGGTAGTCTTTAATATGGCAATAACACTGCACAGCAAATTACAGCAATAAATGTTAGGAAATGTGTGTTAAGGTGGAAAATAAGCAAACACTCCTACGAGAGGGGGAATGATGTTGCCACTGAAACCTCTAAGTTAGAAAGGAAAATCATGTACTATAGCATCCATCATGACAAGCTTCCATTGAACATGATAAGGTTCAGAGAACAGAGAACATTCCACATATTTCTTATATGAGCTTATACAGTTGTGACAGTGGTTACAGAATTCAAGTGCATGTGCAAGCTTTTTCTGCTTCTTTACAATTAATATACATGCACTTCCTGATGACACTGTGTCATTAGCTATAAAAAGCAAAAAAGCCGAAAGGGAACACCAGCCAAAGGGGGCGCTTATTCTTAACTGTAAAGAAAGATTCATACAAACTACACAGTCTTCAAGAGTAATTTTTGTAACTTACCCCTTCTTTGAGAGGGCTAGGCACTCAGCACTCCCTTTTTTTTTTTTCTTTGTTTTGATAACAAGCAGGTAGCACAATTACATTCTTCAGTTGTAAGGATTTTATTTTAAGAAGGTGCACACTGCTTTCACTTCAGAAATCAAGAAGCAGCAAAACCAAAACAAGACCACGAAAATTAATTCTGCAGTGTTACCAAATTCACACTTACCTTTCTAAAGTGTGCAAGCATGTCTGGGCTTCTCTCACACATCTCCGTGAGGAGAACTACTGATGTGTGTAGAACACCTAAAAGCCACAGGAAAAAGCCTCTTAATTTCATTAGCTCTAGGCAAATAACAAAAATTACAATTAAATGAAAACAAATTATACAAAACAATCTCCCCTTCAATCTAACACATGCTTCAAAAAAGATGCTTTCAGCTGTGCCCAAGGTAAAGTTGATGACAAAGTGCATGTGCCTTAGATCAACAACTAAAAGTCAAAAATGGAGACAAACTGGACTTGTATATTGCTTAAAGAAACTTGCATACTAAATACACTGTTAGACAGAAACAAACATGTAAATAAGATTTGAGAAGGACAAACTGCTAAATGTTTTGTACGCATTGAGTTTCTTATGCTCCCCAATTTTCTCTTCTGATTTGGATACCCTACCAGCCTTACGTGGTCTGCACTACGCCTTCCTTAGGAGGTCTCAAACCTCAAGTTTGGAGAAAGACTACAGCAGACAGCTTGCTAAAGCCAAACTGTCTATTTGGCAGTCAATTGCCGTGTTCTGACTTAGTTAAGTTAAAACACCTCTGAAAAGCAGTTAGAAAAGCCACGTCAGTTACAAAGCATTTAATTAGATTACAACAGTTGAAAATTAACCACTGGATGCACCTTCAGCAAATCTGCAGACAACACCATGCTGCGTGGTGGGGTCAAGATGCTGGAAGGGATACCACCTAGAGGCACCCAAGACAGGCTCAGGAGGTGGGCCTGTGCAAACCTCATGAAGTTCAATGTGGCCAAGTGTAAGGTCCTACCACTGGGGTTAGAGCAATCCCAAACCTGAATACAGGCTGGGTGATGAGTGGGACCTGCAGTGGTGGACCTGGAGGCATTGGCAAAGGAAAAAATATATATATATCACACATGGCCTGCTAGTAACGTTTCACTTAACTACTCTGCGTGGAGACAAACTTGCTGTAACATCTACTGTAGGACTCCTAGCACAACCAACTCTTAAGGCACATAATCACTGAAGATAAGCAAAAGGACTAAGCCTGTAAGAGTGAGCACTGCTTGATACAAAATTAACCAAGTATTTTTTGTATTTCTCTTTAAACAATCTTCTGAAGTACTTGAAAAAAAAAAAAAGCATTAAAACAATAACCTAGCAAAAAAGGCAAAATTAACATGAGAATCTATATAATGATCTAAAACAGCACTGAAGACAGACTCTTTCCTGACAGAGAACATCTCCACTCTGGTAATGCCCGCTAAGCAAGTGTCAGATAATCCTATAGCACTGTGTTAACTGAAATCACCCAAAAAGCTGAGAAGCACACTGAACTTCATTTAGGCAGCGTACTGGACAGAAGTGACAAAACTTTCCCATTGCACCCACTCTGAAATAGGTAAACATTGAGAGTTCCTTTTATCACCTATGCCATATAGGTGCTGCTAATCTGTAGCCATACACGCCTGCCTTCTCAATTACATTTGTTCTCACTGCATAGCAATGGGAAGAAACAAATAATAAAAATATAACTCAGTAAATCCCTCCAAATAAAAGGCTTGTGTGCCATACGCAAAAAACAGTACAGTCTTGCTAAGCACGCTCACACATTACCATGGTTCTTTTCATTCAGCAAGTTTTTGGTGGCTGGCAGGAACATCTCCATGAGTTCAGGCACCTTTCTAATAACGTGAACAGCACACAGTGCTGCCTATACAGGAAAAACATTTGATTAGTATGTAGTGCAATGACAAGACATTGAACACCTAGCACAGCAGGAACTACCACAAATTTCATGATATACAGAGGCTTGAAATGTTTGTAGCACATTTTTCCACTCTCTGCTACAAGTAATACTAAATAGCACCACAGAAGAGTTTAACAAAACTTCCACAGTTGAAAAGTAAAAAAGGCATTGAGTTGCAAAGTAACATTTGCACTAAGGGCAGTTCATTTGAAAGTTATTCACTTCAGAGCCATGTTAATTGCTACGTGGCTCTGCATTTAATAGGGCTACTTCAACCTGTCTCATTGTTAGGAAGGGTGGGGAATGATAATGCACTGGAAGTGAAAAGTAAAATTTATGTCAAATGCATGGCTTGTTTTCCTTCCTTTGAATATGATCACATTCCCACAAAACAGTTCCCCTTCAGGTGACAGGTCCTATGAAAAACAGAAGTACACTTCAAAAAGTTTGCCCATCTTCTCCAGAGAACAGAAGCAGGAGAAGACCCTACTCATTGTAGCTGCCTGAGAATCAAGTGCGCTGCCTCTTCCCAGAACACAGCAATAAGTCTCAGCACTGCTGTCTTGCCTAAAATCCCATTATTTCCCCCAACCTTTTCAAGACATAACAACAAAATATATTTAAAAAGAACAAAAGTATTTATACTTGACTGATGCTCTTTCATACTGGCTAACAATTAGAAGCTTGGAGCTAGAGCCTGTGAACAGGCAGGTGCTGGTAATACAATCAGTAGCCTTAAGGTACAAAGTACCTTAGAAATTACATACAGATCATCTGTAGAAGGCTGGCCTTTTAGAGGATTACACACGCATCCTTGCTCTGCAGACATGGGCTTTGGCCTCAACTTGTCTTGCACGCTTGCAAATATTCAGTCAGCATTCCAAACTGTCTAGCATTCCAGTTATTAGCAAGATATCCCAACCTCAAGTTTTAACACTTAGCAAAACATTAAGAAGTACCTTCTTCCTAAGATAGGAGTTGGATGTTTTGAGGAGCTTTTCAACCTCTCCTGCAAGGTCTCTGCACATTTCTGAAGAGCCCATGCAGCCAAGAGTGCAGAGTGCCAGCCCCTGCACATATTGCGTGCTGTGGTTAAGGTCACTGCAAAGAAGAGGGGAAAAAAAAAAAGGACAGTCAGTATGTGAACAAATCCCAAATATGGAAAAAAAAGTGCATCTGTGTATGGCCATCCAGCCATCTGTACACATAGCCAGAAGAAATCTCCAAATTCTAAGCTATTTGGGAATAAACAATATCAGCTTTGAGTTTTCTATTACTTTTATATAGAATCCTCAAAGAAAAAGATTTCAGCAAAACCACCAGGTGAATATCCAGTGCTTGAGCTGATAGGAGGGAAGACCACAGAGAACTCCATTAAAGCTTACTGTAGTAAATACTAAACTCTGTATTTTGGAATTTGCAAGCAGGAAAGAAATTAACATCAAGTACAGCCTTGCAGAGACTCTGCAAGTTGTCCCAGCATAAACAAGTTGTAGAATAGGCTTTAGCTTCTGGTTTATATGAACTCTGATTTGCAGTTTCTGAATCTTAAGATTTTCACATAGTTTGACTTGCATATTTTTACAATGGCTTTTAATTCTAGTTACCTCCCCTTCCTTCCATTTGACTATTAGGATTAATGAGTGGTGAATTGTAAAACTTCATCTGGACTTGATCGTGAAATAAAACCTTAAAAGGGTAACAGACAATACACATGCTTAATACATTAACCTTAGTATAATGGAAAAGAAGAATTTTTGCTAAGACTTACAGACTGAACAAAAATATTGAATCGGAAGTGGGATTCATACTTACAAACTGAACAGCATTAAAAACAAAATCTATGCAAGATATTTTGGCTCAAGATGGAGAATAACAAAATCAACGTACAAAATAAACAAAACTCACTACTCACAGAGCTTGCAAGTAATCCATACGGAAATGCTGTCAGCCTCTGGAAATTGCAAAGTGCAATACCCATAAGCAGACACTACTTCTGAGGCCACCCACCAACCATCAGCCACTAAGTATGAGACAATACAGCTTCCATACAGCAATTACAACAGCTTTTAAAAACTGACTTCAACCAATTTTCCATCAGAACACCTGGTACTCCTGTCACCACAGCATCCAGGATTCATTCACAAATGTGAAGAACATAAAAATACGGCTCCTGTTTGGGGGGTGAGTTGGTGACTGCATGACGGGAGGACAGGGGAAGCAAGCAGTATGCAACCAGATTCATACAACATGCAGAAAAGAGAGCATTCTGATGTAATATATAGAAGTTATGGCAACATGCAAATAAAATAACAGAGTACACCTGCCATTAAAATGGGTTGATTTTTGTTTCCTTATTTCAGCAAGTTTTGGGCAGCAATACGTAACAGTGAATATAGCAAGTACATGCTGCTCCACAAGGGTGTCCACTTGTTTTTATGGAAGATCTAGGTTGTGGTGATAAGACACTGATGAAAGCAGACAAAGTGGCAGGCAAGGAAGCAATAAGCTTCCCACCACCTAAGTGGGTTGCTATCTCCCAGTTTTGTTTAGCTTCAGCCCAGCTCATGTCAAATTCATCCCACCCTTATCACACAAATTTGTTTTAGCATAAGCAATCAAAAAAAGATGTTAATATAGCAGCCTAGTTCTAATGGAAGAGTCTCACAGGTATGACAACTCAATAAAAGAATACTTGACCAAACACTTGTAGATCCCAAGGCCCACAGTCTTGTCAAGACTTCCCAAGCACTTTGAGGACACAGTCCAAGCAATCAATCTTACTAATACTTCATTTGCTATTACTCAAGAGGCTTATGTTCAAAAATAAATAAAACCAGACATACCACATACAAGCAGGAACAAGGATAAAACAACCAGACCCCAGTTGTTTCACTCCTTCTCCCACCCATGTTGAAAAAAGACTGCCCATCATTAGAAACAGACCAATCATCCTTCACTTAACTATAATATGAAACAGTGCTGGTTTAGCAGCACTTCACTAGAAAGATTTTAAAAGTAAAGAAACTGAGGAAAAAAACAATCCTTATTTCTCATCCTTTCTTGACCAATTTCAGGAAGGTACCAAGCAGACAGCACATTCCAAGTTGCTGCCTTGCTTCTGAGGAAAATCATACATCAGTACTGTTTGGTCAACCTTAAAAAGAAGGCAGCATACAGTCTTGACTCCCAAGGTCAAAAACTTCAGAGCTCATCAGCACAAGTAAACAAATAGAACCAGAGATACAGTACAGAGATACAGTATTGTAACAGAGGATAATCTGACCTACAGTGTTTTAGCAGTGTTATGAAAATATCCTCATTTATTACTATTTAAAAGGTATGTGGACCTTCAGCAATGCTGCATTACTAACTGCATGCCTGTCTCTTTCCTACTTTGTAAGCAGGGAGATCATTTAGTTCTTGAATGTGGAATTATACTTGGCACTGGTGAGGTCACACCTCAAGCACTGTGTTCAGTTTTGGGACCCTCACTACAAGAAGGACATTGATGCCCTGCAGCACGTCCAGAGAGAGGCAAGGAAGCCACAAAGGGCCTTACTGAAGAGCAGCTGAGAGAACTGGGATTCTTTAGTCTGGAGAAGAGGAGGTGAGGGAGGAATGGAGGTGGATCTCATTAGTCTCTGCAACTACCTGGAAGGAGTTGTAGAGAGCTGGGGGTTGGCCTCTTTCCAGATAACAGCAATAGGAAAAAAGGTAATGGCTTTAAGTTGCACCAAGGGAGATTCATATTGGATATCAGGAAAAATTTACTCTCAGAGTGGTCAGGCATTGGATCTGACTGCCCACAGACATGGTGGACTCACCATCCCTGAAGGTTCTCAAGAAAAGAGTAGATGTTGCCCTGAGTGACATGGTCTACCGGGCATAGTGATGATCACAGAATGGCCTGGGTTGGAAGGGACCTCAAGTTCCAACCCCCATCAATGCAGGCAGGGCTGCCAGCCAGTAGATTGAACACTACATCAGGCTGCCCAGGGCCTGATCCAATCTGGTCTTGAACACCTCCGTGGACAACCTGCTCCAGCATCTCATCACCCTCCCAGTGAAAAACTTCCCCCAACATCTAATCTCAACTTTCACTCCTTTAATTCACAAGCATTCCCCCTTGTCTTGTCACTATCTACCCATGTAATAAGCTAAGGGTTGGACTAGATGATCTTACTAGTATTTTCCAACCTGAATGATTCAATGAATGGAAGTTGTTTTTTGGTTTTTTGATTTTTTTTTTTTTGTTTTGTTTTTTAAACACAAATGTTTTCTGGTACCCTTACTTCTTGATGCAATTGGTCATAAGAAGATGGACATCCTGTCTCTCATCCAGCAGCAACATGGCACCTAAATACCCAATGCGCTTGTCTGTGAATTTCTGAGAGGCAATGAGCTTGAGGCACTCCAACTGGGGAAAAAAAAAAAGAAAGAAGAATTAGCTTAAACTGCTTCTCAACTAGAAGAGAAAGAGTTTGAACTCTGATATTAACTAATTTAGGTCTCTCTCATAATATATTTTTAAAAGTATATTCTATTTCCATTTTGATGATACGGAAAACAAAGGCTGAATGACCAGCCTAAAGATTCCAGCAAGGAAGCAGCAAAATCAATAGTAAGTCTGCTGCCCTGAAATAACAATCCTCTGCTGATCTTCCATTACCTCATACATACCAGATAAGCAGGAGCAGAGCACGAAAGAGAAAAATAACACAGATAAGAATTATCAGTTAAAAAAGAAAAAAAAAATCCAGAAATCCAGAAAAAAAATCCAAAGATATGCCATGTTTGATAGACCTTGGAATTTTATTATTTTTATTTATTTATTTTGCACTGTAATGGATACATCTACCCACCAGGGAGAGAATCAGTGCTCTGTTAAGATGTCAACAACAATTTTGATGATTACGATCTGTAACTAAGTAACTTGCTAGGTAAATCTTATACAGTCATATATGTCAGTTCCCGCTGTCCTGCAATCCTGTAACTTCTGTATGAACTTCAGAATCTAAAATCACATGCACTGCAGCCACTACAAACATCACATCCCTTCTATCATGTAAAAACGTACCAGCTGTATTCAAAAATGTAAAGGAAATTCCTTGATAACATGCCTAGCTACCACTTACACTCAGATAACTTCAGAGTTTAGCTGCTAGCTAATTCTTAAACATGTTCTTAGTTCAAAAATACAAACAGTAACATTACTATGCACTGAAGTATCTCACTCTAACTGATAATCAATTACATATAAGCATATCTCTACTTTCCAGCATGTAACACTATAACACGATGGAAAGTATAATGCTTATAGCAGGGTGGCAAAGTCTCTGACTGCTGCAAATGAGGACAGGCCCAAATGCAGCAGCCTAGACACAGAAACAAAGGAAGAAGATTTACTTACCTTTGAAAGGCCTCAGGTGCACAGGGATCTGCAGAAAGATACCCTCACCTCCACTGCCAACCCTTAAATGAGGTCTGGGAAGGGGTGGATCCCGGCCCCAGCCCTTCTCATCACCTGGGTGCATCACCGCATGCACTTGAACTCCCCTGGGCTGGCCCTGCCTTCCCACCTGTTGCTCCATCACTGTTTCAAGCTGTGACTTCATTTCCGCTACACAGACAAAGCAGCAAAAATGGCTTCTCAAAACAGGTAAAAGATTCATCTTCTCACAAGCACATGCCTTAAGTTCGTTCTGCAAGTTAGCTAGGGCAGCAAGTAAGCACACAGTGGATGTATGGAGGGGATGAGACAAAGCTTCCAATAGATCTACTTTAAAGGACACAAAAAAGGCCCGCATAGGCAAAAATAAAGGGTAGCATGAAAAGGTTTTCAGTCCTTCACTATAAGGAAGTTTGAACATAATTGTTTTTGAACAGGGAGATGCGAGAAGTGCACGCGCATCAAGAGAGCAAAGCTATACTGGCTGCTGAAAAACTTGTAAGAAAATTAAATTTAATGTGACAGAGAAAATAAATGCTATGGCCCAGCTACTAACAAGTTCTCACAACTGCACAGAATCAGAATATATAACACTGCCGTGCAAGAAGTTGCCACATAATCATCTAGCTTGAGCTGAGTGACCAACTGACAAGGAAAAGATTGAATGAAAGCAAATTCAGTTATCTAAGATTAACCTGGATGAAGAAATACCTCTAAGCAGTCAGATCAGTCATCCAAAGAGATAACTGAACACGCACGAGTGGGCAAGATCAACCAAGAGATAAGGTACATAACACTGCGTATTTACCTCTTATCTTTACAATGACTGACCCATTTTTTCCCCAGAAAAGTTTAAAAGGTGCTTTCTTATATAATGCTCTGCAGAAGTGCAGTGTGGAACCAATGGCCTCACAGCTACAGCATAAGAGCTAAAGAGGGCAAGACAAACAACTAAAAGAAAAACCAGAAGGAAACTAATGACTGATATTTCCAGCACTTTTAAATTTGTATGATATTACTGAAATTTACCCCGCAAAAAGCTGAGCAGTTTGCTTCACATGTATACAAATACATGCAAAGTAGCTTAGTGCACAGCACTGCTGAGCAACACAACGAAGTGAAGCTCTGCTTAATTAGTAGAAGAATTCTTGATGTCACTATATCCATTTCATTCAAAGGAACAGCAATTAAGATCTGCTGCCTCAGTGCTGTAACAGATGCATCAACAAAGCCTGATAATACAGGTGTATCGCCAGATTACAACTCAAAGTTTTTACTGACACAGACACCTTTCTGACTGGCATTCTTTTGCAGGGGAAATAAAACTTAAAAGTGGATGCCCAATACCTTCTAATCATAACCCGATTTTAACACGTGCTCAAGACAGCTTGCCATGCACTGCATCTCAGCATGCACTGGCTAAATGTAACACAAGATTTCCTGACTCAAAGTGTAGGAATTCTGTCTTGGAAAGAAGCAGATCAGCCATTTGCTTCTTCTGACACCTTCTCTGAACACTTATTAATGGTTACCCCATTCATAACACTAGCTGAAGTCAAATGTCTGTCTTAAGGATAAAACCAGACATGGGATCTAACAGCCTGTGGCTCTCCAGTTTTTCATCAAAATGAATTTCCTACTCATTCATGCTGCCACTCTCTGAAACTTCTTGTTTATCATGCTGCCTATCTTAAAAATTCTACTACTGCTGGAATGGCATCTGCCTTCAACAGTCTCCCAGCACATTGTTTTGGAGAAAGAACGAGGATCATATAAAATCACCTATATAACACCAGTATCTTGAAAGATTCCTTCCAGTCACAAAAGATTTCAACTTAAATAATAATTGCTAAAATCTCTTCTTAGCCTTGGCCAGAAATAAAACTGACAAATTATATGAGAACCAAGGCCAGAGGATGGTATGCTACAGTCAGCATAGTTGTTTTCCTGTTAAATCAGAATTGCTACATCTCGAACAAGTCTTTTCTCTGGGAGAAGAACCCAACGACGTAGAAAGAAGTTGATCCCCCCTAAATTGAAAGTACAGTCCAAACTCAAAGACAATTTGAGGCCCTGGTTACATTATGACTGCAGCAATTGGACAAATCGGCACAATGGAAAAGGCATTACAACAGAGGTGTGATGATGACAGGACTGGCACAATAGAGAGGTGCTATGAAGGGAAGAAGATTGCTCACCATTATCAGAAGATTCCAGGTTTGCAGAGGAGAGCTTCACCAAGGAGGCATCTCCAGCCAGAGCCCCTTCCCCAGTGGCAGTCAGCCCTTCAATGAGGTCTAAGAGCTGCAGCCAGGCTCCGTCCCTTCTGGCCCCACAGCTGAACTGCTTCACCTGTGCTCCCAGGGCTGACCGGGTCCTTTCCCCAGCTGCTCAATCCGTGCTTCAGGCTGTGACTCAGTTACCGTACAATGACTAATGGGATGTTTACTAACAAAAAAATGAACTGTGCCTCAAACGCTAAGCAAAGCTCAACCTGAAGAACATTTTGTAGATCAAGACCCCATCATCTTATCTCTCTTTTCCACAATTTGACTGAGGAACACTACATGGAAAATAAGTCAAAACTCACATCAGCATTCTCCAAATCTCTTCACTAAAATGGGGACAAGAAACACCAATCCTTTATTGTTGGGAACAGGCCAACTATTACCTGCCTAGAATAAATTACTTCAGAATAAGGAAACTCTTAAATAAGAAACACCTTTAAAACATCTGGCAGTTTCTATCAGGTACACAACTTCAAGATGCCATCCAGAAATACTCATACTTACCAGATTGTAGTTTAACTACTGCTCTGCAAGACACACCTGCAGCAAGGAGCAGACAGCCTGGGTAAAGCAGACTAACTGCAAGTTTCATAACAAAATACATAAGAACAGGTTTCAGACAGGAAGTGTCTTTGTCATAACCAAAACTAACTAATGCAGGTTCTGAACATGCGCGAGGACAAAACCTCAAAACATCTCAAAGCAAAACTGCTCTAGTTCTGCTCCAAAGCAGCCCACGCACTCAAAACACATGAAGCATACTGGTATACACACACACACACACATACACACACATACACACACACACTGTAGCAGCAATGAAGACCAACCTACCTGTCCAAAATGTGCAGGGTATCCCAGCATGTGCATGTACAGCAGCTTTGCCACATTTCTGCATCTGTATGTGTTATCTTCCTCTCGGAAGGATGACCGGATAGCAGCACATTCCTTCTGAATCATCTCACGCTCTTCTGCCTGGGTTCTTGCTGTCCGGATGGTCCGGATCAGCTCCCGCAGTCTGATGGGGGCTGGCATCCTCTGGGAGAAGAAAGAGATCCATAAGCCTTCTACTGTACCTGAGAACTTCATAATTGTCTCAGTTCAACATATTCTTCTTTTTTCCCTTATAATTATATAAATGGAAGAATTTTAAAAAGGCAAACAGCTAGCATGGTTAAAAGCATACCCAAAGGCCACAGGAATTCATTGTACCTTCCAGGAACAGAAGTTCTCACAACTGCTTTTCTAGAAGCAGAAACTGCTATGCTTTGAACAAGCTGCCAAGTGAACGTAACGTGATTCCCAGTCCGAAATAGATAAGAGCCATACATTCTGCCTCTCACCGAAGAGGTTTGATCCTTGAAATCTCAACAATGTGGGACACAAATCTCCTTTACAAAAAACAATGCTGTTAAATAACTAGCAGAAGTTTTCAGACAGGTATTTCAGAGAGCCACGCTTCATAAATCTCACATACTTGTGCCGTGCATCCTTCTTCCTTTGAGGGGGGAAAGACATCTTCCATCAGCATTTTCTGATAGTATGAACGGCGTGGTTGCACTTCAGAATCAAGGAGACACCGTATGTTTATTAAATACCAGCCAGAACAATCATTTCTTCAGAGGCAATGTGACAAAGCTTCTCACAGAACTGCATGAAGATGACTTTTTTTATTTAAAAAAAGCACATGCTACTTGAACTTCAGGTAGTTTCATTTTGCCAGGCGATGGGTACTACCTGACCTAGAGAGCATTGCATTCTCCTGAATGTATTTCAAGAGAAAAATGGCTCCCGTCCAAAAAAAGTTTAGGAAGTTCAACTGCAAAACCTAACTGTAGTTTATGCTCAGCAAAGCAGACTTTTGACCTTCATGAGGATAAATCTATGCAAACTTATCTACAGAATTCTTCCATCCACGTTAAACTGCAAGATTAGCTAAGTCATTTTTAAATCACAAAATCACACCAATGAGTAAAGTTACTCAACACAGCAGCCGGTCACAGATCATCTGTGTGTCACCATCCTCCTAAATCAGTGCCATAAATTTTAAGTGCTACCATATCACAGAGACACATTCAGACATGGTGCTGACTGGCTGGCATGGCACAACGGGTTTGACTGCACACTGAATGGGCAGCTGGGAAGCTCACATTCAGCAGGGCAACCCGCGTGCTGCACCAGAAAAACAGACAGACATGTTACAATGAGCAAAGGTGGCCTCGCAGACAAGCAGCTGAACGTTGCTCTATGGATCTGAATTATAAACTCAGACTGTTACAGAACTCAATCTCAACACTGCATCTCCTTGGTCAGTCCAACCAAACAGCCCCTCACATTCCAATTGCCCATCTTCATGTCTCAAGAGCTCAAATTCGCAGAGACACAAAGTATCACATTTTGAAAAGTATATGGAGAGATATTTTATCTTCCTCAAAGTACTGTGAAGGATCAAGATAACTGGACTCCCCAATCCTCAGCCTTGCCTCTCCACAAGCTGTAAGATTTCCTCATGTTACTGTGATACAAAACAAATCTATGCTGCCCAAACATTCAGATGCCACACTAATAAGGGTAGGAATGGTGAAAGGGAAGTAGGAAAGCTGCCTCCAGAACAGCATTTGAACATGAGACACAAAAGGCCTTTGAATACTGTAATAACATTCTTTTAATAAGGGCTGTGATGTCTCAAAGGTTTTGAAAATCCTCTGAAAGGATCTTCCTCACACAGCATCACATCCATACAACACAGAGAAATCTTTAATTAGATGGGAACGTTTAAACCCTTAGAACAGAGCGCTGCACTGAACTAACAGAGCTCTGATAGTGGTAGAGCCACGATCTTTCAACAGTAAAGTAAGGCTGTAGGAACATGACAAACAGAATACGAAAACCCTGCTAAGCACCAAGAGCTGCACCTTGGTGCACACCTACTGTAACGCCACCTCTGGAGACTGCGGATGCTAAGCGTCATCTTCAAGGAACAGCCACAAATAATTATCCTTGAAAATTGGGAAAAATTGGCAAGAGATTTTCAATACTGCAACAAAATATATATCCTCGAAACAAACAAACTGCCAGCACTCACAAGCCCCAAAGCTTCTCAAACTAAAGGAAACTTGGTTCTATGCATTTGCCACATCATTTCCTCCTGTTTACACCCACAATAAAATACTTGTTCTATCCGAGTTAAATATTTTTTAACTACTGTGCAAAAAACCTCTGCCCAGTAACTTGCATGGAAAATTTCAGAATGAGAAACTAAGATTGAACAATTAAAAAAAGGAAAATACTAAGAAAAGAAACAGTTTTAAAGGTCTTGTAAAATTAGGTAACTATGCAAGAGTTACTGCAAAGTAAGCTGACGTTCCTACTTAGCATGCGCTACATTGCTGGCAGCTGTTGTCAGGATGCACTGCTTTACTCTGGTGTAATTTAGCAAAAAGCAGTAAACATAAGTGCACGATGGCACTGCAGACTGGGCAACTGACAGCCACAGCCCACTATACAGCCCACCACCTGTCTTTAGGAGCTTATCTTTGGAGGTGAACGTAAATAAAAGCTATGGGATGAGATCTGTCTACCTCAGAACTATTTTGAAGTCAGGTAGGATACCACCTCTCAAGATTCTATTAAATCTTATAACAACATCTGTTTAGGTTTAGTTTTTTATTTGATGTGTTGTGTTGGTAGAGATCTCTGAGGCTCCTAAAAAGTTCCCCTAATTAAAGTTGGCCCCTCACTTCTATAGCAGTCTTTAACTCAGATTGCTCTTTGACAAGAACACCATCTACCAACTCTTCAGCGCCCTAAAAGGGCACAGACAGAAAGCAGATCAGAAAAGCAGTAGCCCCACCAAGTCTGATCAAAGCTCACTCCATTTGATATCCTGTTTCTCACAGCAGCAGGAGCCCGTGGAAGACTGGAAGAGCCAGGTCAGCACACATACATACAAATCTGTTCTACTGCAGACTTCAGCAACTTGCAGTATAAGAATTTCTAAAGCAAAAAAATGTCAAGGCCTACAAAGATAAAAATAAAAAGGTAGATCTATTTCTATTTTGAATCCAGGTGAACTTCTAGAACTTCTAGAATCAACAGTATTCTGCAAGTCACTACTTAAGTTCCAAGCATAACACACGGAAAGACAGTTCATTCATTTGTTCTGCAGATTCAAGTCCTTATTGCAGTCGATGCTCCCAATAATCCTATGGAGATGATAACAAATTACCTAGTTAGCAATACTAAGGAGCTCATCATCTTACACACTTCACACTCCTACCTCATCTTTTCAGTCTGAGACCTGCAGCCCAAAACCGGAGTCATTCCATGACTGGTTATGTTTACTGCTTGTCTGCATGCTCCACGATTCTCCTGGGTGCAAAGAAAGCGCCGCGCCCAGCATTTGAACCATGGCTGCACCACAGCGCGTCCTTGTGAAAAAAGGGAAGTCCCTCCTCTCATTTCCCCAGGGACTTTTAACAGCCTCTCTGGGTAGGCGGTCACTGCAAAGTGCTTTGTTTATGTAACAGTCTGACAAACCCCAAAACAGCCCACTTGAAGCCCCACCACATCCCATACCCCTTCCCCTTCAAACACCCTTTCAAACTGCTTTTGATAAGCCATGCTTTTGTTGGAAAACAGGGAAGGAACTGAAAATAAAAACAGCACTGCAGGCTGTTACAATGGGAAAAATTAACACAGTGGAAGGGCAACACAGGACCGTAACAAAGGGACGAGCACAGATAGGATGGTATTTCAAAGGGAAAGCAGAAGTGCTCATCCACCTCCAAAGATCGAGGCTCACAGGAAGGACTCCACCAAGGAGGGATCCCCAGCCAGAGCCCCTTCCCCAGTGGCAGTCAGCCCTTCAATGAGGTCTAAGAGCTGCAGCCAGGCTCCGTCCCTTCTGGCCCCACAGCTGAACTGCTTCACCTGTGCTCCCAGTGCTGACCGGGTCCTTTCCCCAGCTGCTCCATCAGTGCTTCAGGACGTGACTCAACAGTTCCCATAAACAGGTATACATCTCTGCAGCCTTTGGCAATAACTTAATCATCATTAATAACGTCTCATTAATAATAATCACAGGCTCACTCTGACAGAGGAGACTGATTCCACTCCTTCCACTGCTCTACAGACAGCATGCCTGGGACCCAGCATGCCACATGAGGCCATCTGTACATCTGAAAACCAGTGGCGTTACTTTCCTCTACAAATGAGAAGCCTTCAAACAGAATAGTTGAGCTTACGTGACACAAGGCAGTGTGAGCAGACAGCTCTGGGAGAACCAAGATGGAGCTGGAAAGACGTGGAGCAGGTATCAAGAGTTAACAAACCCAAGATTCACATTTCCCACTCCAGACCCCAAGAACTCCTGCAGCATGCTGAGGATGGCACACTTCAGTACTCAGAAAGGTGACCCACGACGCCATCAACAAAATCCTGTACAATCTCATCCAGTTCCTCTGGATGCCCCCATCCATTAATTTACTATCAAACCCACAATGCGTTGCTTTGCAGGTAGTAAGACACGAGACTGCATACAATTAGCCTTGGTAGAAAAAATCCATAACAGTAAAGCAATCAGAAGAGCTTGAATGGAGGCAATAAGGTTGCATGGATATTCCTCCAGGATGTGAGACATCCAATTCACACAAGATAGCAACTACCTCACCAGATACACACCTGACCGGCACGCATTTGCAGATGCACAGCTAAGAAAAAAAAACCAAACAACTTCTACTAAATGAAAAAGACTCCAGTGATTCCTTTTCTCGCTTCTTTCAAGAAACACACCTAAGCATCCTCCCCCCTGTAACCAAATCAACACAGAACAACAGGAAACAAACATTTTCCCACATTCACACTGCCAAGCACTCCATACCTCGAACCTATACCCACTGAGAACAACGACAAGCAACAACAGCAAGACAGGCACAAGGTCTCATGGACTCCATGGATATGCAGTCGGCACTTTTATTAAGCTGCAGCATGACAAAAGGCACAAAGAGAATGAAAGACGACCCCAACAAGCTCCAGAA